TTTTCAATAGAAGTGATTAATTTACATTAAGATATTTTAAAATGTAATTGATGTATCAGTTTCTCTGTTCCATTCATATGAGTAAAAGATTGTTTATGGTTCAGAGAAAAACAAGTCGCAGATCTATAGGAACCGTTGATTTTACACTATAACAGTATAATGTACATTTTAGGAAAACTGCGTTGTATGTATATTGTATATACATTATAAGTTCATTACAATATTATTTAATAATGTAAATTCTCGATTTTATCAACATCGCAAAGTCAGATTTTATTTATATATTATCGTATGTTATACTTATCTGAAATCATTATTTGTATTTAGTTTAAATTATTGAAATAATTCTGTTATTTAAATATGTTAAAAACTATTTTAATTTTCAGATTCTCAAAAAATAAATAAATAAAAGTCGAAGACGTAGGATCATATTAGCTTAAATGAAAAATTAATTCTACAAAAAAATAATTGAACATAATATATATATATATAAGTAACACACGTGAAGTTAAGTACGTCATATTTTATTCTATCTTTTATATAATTTTACTTCTATAAACATGCCCCTATACTCATGTTATGTGGTCATAATTATAGAACGTTACCGATCTTTAATATGATTTATTAATAACAGAAATTAATATTTAAAACTAATAAACGATTTTAATCTTAAAATTATGTCTAATTTTACTAGACAGTTAGTTATACTAAGCACAATTTAAAGTGTATTAAATTAAAACGTAAATAAAATACATGTCACTTTACGGATAACTTGGTAGCAATACTATTATGAGATGGCAATGATACTGCATCGGCTTTCGGCACACGTGCTTGTTACGATCTGAAAGGTTATAATTGTAAATTAAGTTATCAAAAATAATTGAATGAGGTGGATTCCGTGGTAATACAGAATAAATGTAATATGACATGCACTTTTTATTATATGCAATGTATAAGTGCGATGTGTATACAATATACATTATAGTAAAATATAAATACTGTGGTTAGGTTAGGTAGTTCACTACCATAAAATTTGAAGGATATTAAATCAAAAATTATGATTTTACTACTTAAAGAACGGGTTGGTACTGCGTTAATATTTATCATATTATATTTACTTACCTTAAAATATTTGATGTGCTGTGGAATATGTTTATTGTATACTAATTCAATATGTACTTGACAAAAAGTGTTTATCTCTATTTTTTGGCCGTTAAAAATATAAGCTTCTTATCCTCACTGAATAAATTAATTGTTTAATATTTATTAATTGCAGAGCTTTGTATACTCGAGAGTATGAACTGAAACTGAATAATTAAATTTGAGAATAATTTTGAAGTAAAAATTTAATTTAAATTACCATCACAAACTAGAGAGAATATTAATTGGATTCAACGATATTCGTAATGCATACCTAATAACTAATATTTAGTTACATAGTAGTTTTAGTCCATATGATGGAATTAATAATTATATGAGACAATTTTTAAATAGTTTATTATATTGACAAAAATTAATTTGAGCCGATAATATTCCGATTAAGTGTCTTATAAAATTCATCTTAAAAATATTGTTTACGATTAAGTTAGCACGCCAAATTATTGAACACGCCTAAACTCAACCAGTTTAAACATTAAAATAATACAATAGAAATCAATATGTACAGTTTTTCATTACAACTAGGTGTACGTATTTTGTTCTCGTAAATGTAAATCACACACAATCACAATGGTCATATTTACGATAAGGATCAAAGGTTTATAGAAGATGGCCTAATTATAAATAGTGTCAATAAACTGATTTTTGTAAATATGTTAATAGCCTATACATTTTGAGCATATTGAAAGCAATCAACCATATAAAATTTTACAATTTTTAGACTTTAAGTGGAATAGTTGATGTCATACTTTTAACTATGTGCACTATTACGTTTGAGAGCAGAAAAATGCTTAAATCTTCAGCTAAAAGTACCTAAAGGTTTCTAGTAACAAATTTGGTTAAATTTGTTTTTTTTTTGAGTGGTGAAAGTATTGAATTTTCAGTTTTTTTCAAAATAATAAAGAAACCCGAAGATATTTATATCAGTTTCAGAAAAACTTGATTTTTTCACTTTGTTGTACTGTATGTGTAAAATGTATTTTATCATTGAGCAAGCTACAGTAATTGATAAGTCAAATTGAGTAAATATCGACTTAAAATAGAATAGTTTAAACATAGGCTCGTACTATAAAGTGTAATACTACAAAAAAATAATTAAATGATTTAATTTTTTATTATTATTGTGTGTTATTTACAATCTGTTTGTAGCAACAATAATTAAATATGATTATGAGATTATAAATGAACTGTTTGACAAATGCTGATGTGACTACCTAAAAAATTAAAATTAATTTAAATATTTTGAAAATTTTATTGCGTATAGTACATCATAATAATAAAGATAAAGTTATTATTAATGACTTATTAACAAAAATTTTTAAGTTCATATAAATTGTATGTTTTGAATTATAAAAAAATATAACTAATTTCCTAATTTTTGGTTTAAATTTTTATTTGAAATATATAAAAATAAATGGCGTATATTTTGTATTTTTGAGATTTTTTAGGTTTCTTAAAGCTAAACTTACAAGGAAGTTTCTAAAATTTTTATGCCTCTCCTTTTGTTAATATTAAAATATTTACACATTTTTAATTACAAAAAATTAGCACAATTTCGTAATTGAAATCATTTTTTGTGAAAATTTGAACTTTGATTACTTATAAGAAAAAATTTGAATAAGTATTTATTTTTAAAATTTTTATTTTTTTAAATAACAACTTTTTACCTTGTATTTCATTTTCAAGATTTTTTACTCATAAACAAAAACTCTCAATAATTTTGAATATCTATAAGTGACACAAATAAATCAAAATATTTTTAAAATTCATAAGTTATTTCTAATTAATATTGATATGAATATTCAGAGAAAATTCCATATCCTAATGGCAATTTGTTTTTAAATAGGTTACAATAAAAAAAAATAATCTATTTTAAACTTTCTTCTAATGTTTTTGTTTTTCCCGATTATTTTGGAAAGTATTGAAAATTCAATTTTAACCTTCTAAGCCTCAACTAGATCCAATTTTTATTTTAGCGTGGACATAACAATTTCCAGACACGAATATTGTATTTTCCTCGTCCTAGATACACATAACAAGAAAATATGTTGAGATCTTCACATCAATCGATAAAATTTTAAAACTGCCGTCCATTCGTCACTAACTGCAACAATATCTTTATGTATGCGTACAGTTATACCTGCACTATGTGCGATAAATTTCCATTTGATTATAATATTTACAATATAATCGTGTAAAATGGAAATTAAAACACATACTAAAGAGGTTATAGGTTAGATTACAAAATACAACACAGAATGTTCATTGCACGTTTATACGAGTATGTATATGTGTCTGTACTATTTACAAAATATATCAGAACATAAATTAAATTATCGTCGTGTCTTAATGAAAGTGACGGTCATGCAAATTTAATTGCAATATTATAGACACAATAATTATAACGTTTATTACATTTATATACTATAAATGTTTTTCGTATAAATGTTTGGCCTATAGAATGAATATATCGACTTGTACTTACATATTATAATTATGTTCTATGCACGATTTTTACCGGTGTAAACATTTTTATACATTGCATAAAAATATATAGTTATACATTTTGCATTTATGAATCATGCTAGTGTATTTAAAACTTTCGATGATAACAAATTAGACTATTTTTCTTTGTTTTTCGGTAAAATCTGAGGATTAAATAAAATTTTGTTTGGTTGCTTTTAATATATTAATTTTAAGGCCATATTACAGTGTTATCACTTAAATCGTATTTATTGTTTTTTTTAAATTTAAGATACCATACACATTTTCTGTTATTGTCGTCAATTTGTATGTCATCCCTAAATTATTTTTTATTTAATATGAGCTCAATTATTTATTCGCATTCGAATTATAGTTATTTGTTATATTAGAGTTTGTCAATTGCTTAGGTCTAGAAAATTTTAGAAAAATTATAGTTAGATAATAATATAACAATTAAATGTAGCTAAACGTTAAACAAATAATTTTTACTACGTTAATATTTAAAATTTTTCTACCATATTTTGTAAATTATAGTTAACTCTTTTCTCTCATAATTGTATATTTGGTTGATTTTTAAATACAAGTGTGTAGAATTATTTTTTTTATATAAATATACATTTTTGTTTTAAAGTATAAATAATTTTTATTCTTGTATCTATAAAATAATTTTGGAATAATAATAATAATATTTTTTTCATAAAAACATCAAAATTAAATAAATAATAATAATGATTAATAATTAACTCTATAACTCTCTTCGAGAAAAAATTGTAAAATAAATGCTAATAGATAATTATTCATATAATAATATATTAATTCAAATAACTGTATAGGCGTATTTTTAAAATAAACATTTAATAGTTTATCATAGATTAAGCACAATTGTGACAAATTGTTTCCTTCAAAATGAAGGTTTGAGAGTTAAATTAGTTTGGTACGTTTAAGTACTATAAAAATAAAGAAAATTTTTACTTTTAAAATAGATTTAATGTATATTTTTAGTGCGTATTAGGTAATTTTTTGAATATATATTTTTTAAAGTTATACATCAAATAAATAACATTCCAAGTTGAAAGCAGAAACAGCGGTGAGTAACGTTGGGCGACAGACACAACCACATTGTAGTTGTCATTGCAGGTTTACAAACATTTTTGTATTGATTTACTAAGTATGTACTATTATATATATTTATATAAGCGTTGTCATTACGAACTAAATTGTTTTTAATCTAATTTTTAAATTCAAAGCGTGTAATCGTCTTTTCCGAGCATAATGAGATGTAAATTACGGCAGCGTAGATCACAGCAATTGGATCCACTCATATGCTTCGCCATACGATCTTCGCTTCCCTATTCCACAGTCGTTATTGCTTAAGATTAAAATAAACACGCCACGCTAATAAGTTTTATTGTATTTTATTGATACGAAGTCAGAAAACTGTACAATTGGTAAATTTTCGTCTTTGTATCGAATTCGATTAACCAGGATCCATACAATCTTATAGAAGAAATTGAACACAAATCGCAGTCATGAGATACGTAAGAAAGACGATTTGTTCTTATAAATTAATATTTGTACGTTATACGTCGTGTGGTTTTACAAGGGCCACAGATTAATGAGTAATATAATATGATATATTATTTTACATTAACGAGTACATTACATCCGCATGTATTGTTCTATATTACAAATGTAGAACTTTGGAAAATTATGTTCAGTAGAACTAACCAATTTTTTTATTGTTAGCTTTAATATTAGAGCGAATAGTTTAGGTATTATCCAACTCATAAGTAAGAATATTAGGTTTCTAGGAAAACTCGTATGATTTTATTTGAAGTGCACATTTATTATTATCATTTAAAATATTATAATCTTTGAGATTAAAATATCAATAAAAGTTCATGAGATGTACTACCTTTAAATTTGATTCAATTCATTTTAATAAACTAACAATACATAATTGGTTAGGATTTGCCATGTTGTACGTTTGTTATAAAGTTAGTCGTACGCTTGATTTTAGTTGGAAAAATACGTATATATTACATGTATTTACGATTTAAAGCGCCTGAATACTGCAGTAAATTGCACGCTGAAACGGTTTTTTTCTATTTAAACATCTAAAAAAATAATAATCATTGTATTTTTAATCCACTTTTTTTTAAGGATTTTTTTCTTTTATAAATCATATTTATTACAGATTATTTATTCGATGTTTATCGATTGATACTTTATAAAATATAGGAAGGGATTTGAAATTATTTCTAAATACTCGAAAAAATTAAAAAAAAACACTGTGTAAAACGGCTGGTTTATTTATGTATATTAAATAATAACAATTACAAGATACATAATACAATTTTTAATAATAATATATTTATTGACACCAAAATCACAATTAAATAATATAATTATAAATATAGAATAAAATTAAGCTTTAAGTTCTCATTTTTAAAGCAAATCTTGTGTTGAATTGAGAGAATTCATTATAAGACAGTTAATTTTTTAATAACAAAGAAAATAAAAAATATGATTAAAATAAAAAAAAAAAATATACTTAATATTAATAATATTATTATTTTAATGTATGTCTCTCTGAATGAGTTTTTAAATCTAAAATGTTGACATTCCTCTTAAAACTATTATACAATTTTAATTTTTAAATATTTAATTCTAATATTTTAAAAATTTTTGCACCTACTTTTATCTGAAACAGATGGCTACATTTGCCAAAATTAGTAGAACACAAAAAAGATTTAATATTTTCTTTTTCTTTACTTCTAGCATTATACTTATGATTAAATCTTATATCAATGTTTCTTTTTATTTAAATTAATTTACAATCTATACTGGTGTATAGATCACTAAATTTTATGATGTTAGCTAAATAATATAAATAGGATGGTGAAAGATGTGGGACGTTTAAAGCGTCTGGCTGGATTTCCCGGAAGATGGTTGGAGTGAAAGTGGAGCCAGTAGAGGCATGAATAGTATTCATACTTTTAGATCGTTGTATAGTGTGATATTACCAGGGGACATTGATAATAATTTTTAGTCAAAAAGTCATGGAATTTATGATTTATGGCCTTGCTCGATCACGTTATACTTGAGCATTAATACGAATACCTTAATTATTATTTATACACAATTCTTTTTCCATGGTTATAATTTGGCGTTAACATTTAATAGACTGTTTATGTTTTAAATTTATATTTAAAATAAAAATAGTTAATTTCATAAAAATGTTTGATTTTCTTGATATTTCTTAAAATTATTTCGTCAAATTTGTATTATTATAATTTGATATATAATATATCTATAATAGATAATTAAAATGCGATTTAGATGAAATTTTGGTTCATTAAATTATTTGTCATTGCAATGGTATGCACAATAAACATAGTAAGTATAGTAAGTATCTACCGACTTCCCGTAAATCTCAATAACATAATTATTAATTCATCGTTATTTATAATATTTTATCTTTTACTAATTAGGTGCATATGCGGAAATAGGGATAACCATTTTTGGGTAGATGGTCTTAAATAATACATTAATACTAATAAGTAATTAGTAATAAAAAATACCAATACATAACTACATACTAAAATATCTATGCTTTGGAGAGACATCCCTTTCCAAACCACAGCATTATTTTTATGAGGGAGTTGCTCAGCTTTTACGATTCCGCTATGATGTTGTGATTATGATTGGAAGATACATGTATATATCGTACATATATTTTAATATTTTCTTCTGAATTCAGACTACCGTTATGTCCCATAGATACGTGTGTTATGTATGTGCTTTTATACAATACATACGCAAATTATACGTATCGTGTATATGTTATTAATATTACTATTTATTATAAACGTATGCAACCGATTAAAATGACAATAGGACATGGGTGTTAGCATGGGTGTTAGGGAAAAAAATGTTTTTGGTCTGCCACTACAAATGCTGTTTAATTAGCATAATATTGTCGCTGTACACGATTGGACCGGCGTTATATAAGAACGTGTAGCGCGGGTGGAACGATTTATATATACTGTTTGATCGATCGAGTTTGTTACACTTACATACGTAAACACATAAACGCGTGCACACGCGTGTTATCATGATAGATACGTAATTTATTTGTGATTAATATCGAGACTATTCGCAGAGACTGATTTACAAGTTGCTGATCATAGCGCAAGAACTTCTGTTCGGCAAGAAATTGTTTTTCGATTGGCAGTTCGGCGACAACTGGGCGCTGAAAAGCATGGAGATTTTGGAAAAAGAATTGGAGGCGGAAAAGAACCGAAAGGATGTCGATGGCCAGCGGTCGGACGACCCGAAACGGTCGGAGTATGTGTACCGTAGGCAGATCGTCTGGTTCAACACCATCGGATTCCTTGTGCTCCACTTGGGCGCCGTGTACGGCCTGTACTTGTTCTTGACATCGACAATGATACTCACCATGTTGTGGAGTAAGTAAAACGAATGATAACTAATAATCAGTAAATGTAGTATAACACAGTACGATTTCTAAGCTCAATTGATAACGATGACGAGGTGATCCATATTATATTTATAATTAGCCACATTCCGTTTTAGAAAAAATAAATATTTTTGCTAGTTACCTACCGGTTTTTTATTTTATAAATTGTATAGGTTTTTTTTTGAAAAAAATCATTGAAAAACTATGTTTTTAATTTTATATGATCTGAAACAGAATATAAGTTTTTTTTAATTAGTAGATATTTTTATTTAGACTAGCTGAGTTCTTTGTAGGGCATATGCAGGTACTCTTTAAAAGTTATACGTATCTTAAGTTTAAAGTTTTAAAGTATTAATGATAAGGAAAAAACAAATAAACTAATATTAAATGTATAATAATTACTCATAAAAAATATTCTTAAAAAGTATTATGCATTCGATTATGAAATTAATAATACATTAATACAGTATAAGTAGTCATTAAAGAAATGAAATTTTAAGAAATATCAAGATGAATTATTTAAATATAAAAAATTTCTTAAGTTGTGTAGATAAAAATTTGACAACGTTACAACCTTATTCGTACTTTATCGTATTAAATTTAAATATTTAATATTAATTCTTCTATAATAAATTCGTCTTCCATATGGTTATGATGTAACGTAAAGATTTAAATAAACTGTTTAGGTTTTAAATTTATCTATATTTTTCCCATATGGAGATTAAAAAATAAAAATAAATCTATTTTTTAAATGTTTTACTTGATATCCGCCATTCCTTTGCATCAAAATTAGTCATCAATTACAAAAAAAAAAAAAAAATAATATTTTTGAAATAATGAGTGTTTTTACGTTAAAAGATTCGCCTGGTTGATATATTTAAAATGTTGAGAATCCAATTAAAATATTTTGATGTACTTAGCATTGCTGGTAGCGGGCGCAAGTGCGTTCTCCGTCACTATGGGCGCTCACAGACTTTATACGCACAGGACATTCAAATGTAATGATTGGGTGAAAGCTCTGCTGGTGTTCGGGCAGACGGTCGCGGGACAAGTAAGTCTCTACTATATAATCTTATTACAGTTTAGTATTTTTGAGAAATTTTGTCGACTTCTCATGCTTATTTGATTTTTCTTAAATGCATTCTGTTGTTGTTCTCAGAATTGCTTGTATGTTTGGATCAGAGACCACCGACAGCATCACAAGTACAGCGACACGGTGGCCGACCCACACAATGCGTCGCGGGGTTTCTTTTTCTCGCATATAGGATGGTTGATGGTACGCAAACATCCAGAAGTCATTGAAAAAGGCAAAAAGATCGACATGACCGACATCGAAATGGATCCATACGCAATGTTTCAAAAAAAGTAAGATTTAAACCGATATTTTTGATTAAAAAAGTATCTATAAATACAATAATTTTATTTCTACGTATCACACATTTATTGTTGAGTGAAACAAAAAAATTAAATTTTGACACCATTTTTAGAATATACTTTTAGTATAATTTTTAATTTAATCCGTGTTAAGTTAAGATAATTTTTCACAAATAGTCGTAGAGTTAAAAATTCAATTTTGAAAAAAAAATGTTACTCATAGTGTCTTTAAATTGAGCGCTTGTGTTATACACGCATATTAAGTACTCGCCTATATGTAATACCGTTGCTATGCACACAGATATTACAAAATACTGTTCACGGTTTTGGCCATGCTCATGCCGATGATCGTGCCACACGTTTTATGGGGAGAAACCCTGTGGAACGGTTTCTTCGTGTGCTTCCTATTTCGGCTGATGATGGTTTTAAACTTGACCTGGCTGGTCAACAGTGCTGCGCATCTTTATGGAAACAAACCATTTACCAAGTGAGTAAATATTTTAAGTGGTCTCCAACCGTATAGTATAAAACCATATACCTAACGTTTTCATATTTTATCGTCATTTTGTCACGTGGCGATTTTCTTTTATATAAGCTTTATTATAGTGAATTAAAAAGCTTTAGAAAAATTACTAATAGTCTTACCCTTATGTTATTTGGTCTCTGTCTTACAAACGTATAACTACATTATATCAAATAAGAGAATTATTATGCTTGTTAGCACACTAATTGTTTTCTCCAAAGCAACAAAGTTAATTTTCGTTCAGTAGAACTATAATCTTGTGTTGCTACTTGGCTTTAAGTTTAAAGTGAAGTGATTAGTGAATAGTCAAACTCTGCAACAAAGGTCAATGCACCAGTCGGCTAATTTTTTTAAATGTTTTCATTGTTTTAATTCTGTCATAATTATTACCTATAATAAATATTATATTTTGTATGATTTATTGCTATAATTAGTAATATTTATCATTATCAATAACATACATTTCTTGTCGGTTTTAAAAATAAATATCGAAAGTGATCTAATTTTCACTATTAACTATGATAATATGTATAATTAAAGAATTTTCTGTCACAATTTAGAAAGAAAATTAAAATTTTAATTTTTAATTTTTTTTATTAGGTATTAATGAACTCAATTCATTATCCACTGTGTTACTTTTTTTTCTATAGTTAGGTGGTTTTTTTTTTGCCTTTAGACAGTAAATTTCTAAATATTGCCGAAATCACACTTTAAGTAAAGAATATTATCTGTGTTTGTATGCTGGTTTTTAGGATATTTGAATTTTTTTTGAATTTTCATGTTCTGTATAGGTATTTAACTTGTATACAATTGAAATACATATTGTCAACATGCAAATACGATAATATTTTTTGCCTTAATAAGTTTGATACTTGATGAATATACTTTGTAAGACGGAGAAAACGTATGTGGGTCTTTTGGTTAATTTTAGGTAAATTATTAAACATTATTGAAAAAAAAAAAACAATGTAAAAATTCTTTACATATCTCGGAATAGTCATCGATTTCCTTACCACAACGATGCCACGTTGTTCTGTATTAGTAGGTATATATTTTATAGGTTAGGTTGGATTATAAATGTATAATATAATATATAATCGTAATATAACAAACATTTTCGTCGGTTCGCGGACGATGTGGACTGGATGCAGTGATATAATGCCCGTGGAAAACGTTTACGTGTCCATGTTCGGGCTGGGCGAGGGCTGGCATAACTATCACCATTCGTTCCCGTGGGACTACCGGGCCGCCGAGTTCGGGCAGTACTTTAATCTGACCACCATGCTGATCGACTTTTTCGAAGAGATGGGATGGGTGTGGGACAAGAAGTACGCGACACCGGCCATGGTCCGAAGCCGAGTGACGAAACGCGGAGATGGCACGCATTGCAAGTACAGTCGTCCGCAGTTTAAGAAAAATGATGAATCCTCGGAACCAGTGGCGGACGATGAGACTTACGAAGAGCTATTCTGGCTGGAGGAACGGTCGGCCGAGCGTGCGGCCGAGGCTCAGAAGGGCTGAACGTTTCCACACCCGCGAATAATATAATATAATGCATTTTTTATACTTAGCTATACAGTATATATTAATTATTACTATAATAATTATTATTATTATTATTATACGTCGCCAGAGGATATTTTTTAGAAACATTTTTTTTTCTTATATTATGTATGTATGCACTTGTATATTATATATAATCAATTTACACATGTCGGCGATTAAGTGTGACTCTCTCTCTCTTTATCTATCTTGCTCTGGGATGTATACATAATATTTACGTTGCTTGACGATATAATAATAATAACATGTATGATAGATATAGGAACCACAAACATTTGTAATAATAATAATTATGATAGTAATATATGTAGTGCTCACATTGGAAAAATATAAGGGGGATTTTTTTGAATTGAAAAAAATCAGCATCCTTCAAATTGTTGAGCTCAATCTAATTATATTTTTTAGATTCAATATGGTAACTTTAATGCATTATCATAATTATAATAAATTGAACAATTTCTTTAATTAAATTTGAACATATTACTCAATTTAATTTTTTGAAATATAAATTATTGAAGTTTTTACACAGCGATCTTATTATCTGCTATGAAATTTTGACTTTTATCATTTATTTTAATGCTAAAAATCATAACAGTTAAACGCTATATGAATATAGTAAAAAATAGGTAGTAATGTTCTGCAATCATTATCTGAAAAAATCAATAATATTTACGTACCACTTTTTATAGTGTTAATAATCGTTGTTGTTGTTATTCAAAATTATAAAATATGTAAATCGTTTAATAGTAATATAGCCGTTTTTTTTTATGTACATACATGTCTTTACGCGAGTATTTGTGTTCTCACTTTCGGGCGTACATTTATTTTTCTTCTGAGAAATACGTGCTCTGTATAGTATATAATCATTAAATTATTATTGGTTTTCTACTATTGCGTTTACGCGTCCGGGATGTAGGTGTTCTTAACTTTTATTTAGATATTTTATAATATTTTGTCCTTAAATTACACGTAAATACGGGTTAATTACTTTGAAAAACAAATTCGAAATATGAATAGGTAATATTTAGTCGTGATTGTGAAATAAAAAGGCCGTGATTTCCCGCATTCCACGTTCCGTGGACAACGTGTAGCCATAAAAATGTACCGAAAATAGAAACATTGCTACAAGTGAAAAAATACAGAATTATAATCTAAATATTATTGTCAATTAGATATTTGCTATACGGCAGCCAAACCACCCAAACCTCCTCGAGTCTACAGAATAATAGTATATTATATACTGTATTGTTAAAAAATTGTATTTTAATTAATACGACGCATGGCCACTGTAGTAACGTTATCCAAAAAAATCTTTTCAATCTTGATCGCAACCAATCAAATATGTATACGTATGCATGTAAATACTCAAGTGTAAACATAACGAACCCATAAAATACAATTCCATTTCGTGTTCAATAATATAATACCATATAATATGTTAATTTATTGTTGACACGCTGACGCTGCACATTAAGTAGAGGTACCTACTTGAAAATCACTTCCTTTTCCGATTATAATATTGTACACGACGTGTATTATAATATATAATATTATATTATGTAACATGGCCGGTTGTTTACGTTTTTAAAGTGTATTCTATTATTGGTTAGTAATACTCAGCTAGTGTGCATATTAACATCTTTGAAAAAATAATGTGAACCTAGCTAGGTTACCTCGCCTGAGCGGAAATCTATGTATATGATCAATATCGCGCATAAAAACATTAAAGTTTGTTTAGTATTTAAGTTTATAAAGATTGCGTTTAATTATATTATTTTTAACTGATAAATTTCAATAAATAAACTTAAGAATTTGTAGATATCAAACAACTGAACACTAAAGCGTTGACGATGATCGATGTTGAACGGGATAAAATATGACTTACGAAAAAATCATTGATAATCAATAGGGTCACAGTGTTAAGTCGTTAATTCATAGTCTACTTTTCAAATATTACGAAATATAATTCGAGAAATGCAAAGAATATTTTTAGTTCAAATACTAAACAATATATTACTCACAACTGCAAGCAAAACCTACTCAGCATCATACAACATACTTACAGAAATCTTTTAAGAACAATGATAATTCTCTTCACCGCTCATTCTAAAATTAAACCATTCAGATTAAGCGTAAATATATTAAAATATTCTTTAATTTTAATATAAATTTGAAGTTGGAAAACTTTTTTCTAAAATATAGTTTACATTTTAAGCTAACATTCATTTAATATTTATACTTTAAAAAGGGTAATATACGAGTAGTATAATATTTTAACATGTAATACTACGTAGTATTTAGTTATATGACTGTAATAGGCACTTCTTAAAGAGAATAACTATAGCCTATAAGTAAACTTTTAATATTTTAATTTTATTCTATAAATGAACACATGCGTTTTCGCAGAAATGAATGTGTATGCTTAAGAGCCAATAAATTCAAAATAAATGATTATCAAAATTTTATTCTCTACAGTTCATATACCTATTAAACACGTATTTTAACGCGATAATTGCAATATAGGTATATTTTACTGGTAAATAATATTTTTATTTCTAAAAAACGTTTTTTGTCTTATAATGACCCAATTTTTTAATGCATTATTAAAACTGCTATGGCACATGATCATTATTGATTAATTAATATAATTATGATTCACTACCAATGTATGAGTTGTACGGGTGTTTAGAAAATAAATGATCTTTTAAACACAGGATAATAATATTTTAATAATTTTATTACTGAGATATTATTGATTTTTCTATAATAATGTTTAAATTGTTCGAATAAACTATGTTAGAAAAAATGATCTATACATTTTATAGTATTTAGTGAAAAACAAAAACCGAAAATAATGAATACCTACAGCAATAATATTATTCATTGGATAGGTAAACAAATAATTCAAACAAGTATTATTATTTGAACTCCATATTTTTCTTTCACCAAGTTTTTATTCATATTCTGGTATTTTACTTTTTAACTATGTATAAAAACCATTTTTCCAAATACTTTTTTTATGCCATTTAAGAAGTGTCCTTAAGCAATAAACAATTTTTCTTCATTAACTAAAATAATAGTTATATTATACTCAGTTTTAAATACTCATATTTTACACAAAATATTTAATATAATATCGTAATGAACACATGATGTTGAATAAAAAAATAAAAATGAAAACCCGGGTTCCGATTCAATTACACACTTGTGCAAACTTTTGATGAGTTGATACGTATTTACCTGATTAAATATATTTTATTTTAGTGTCCCGTGCACAGTAGTCTTGCAGATTGTAAGTAATTTATGATGGGGAACTATTTACATAATGTGTAAGAAATTAATTGTTTACATTAGTATAGATGCACAAAGAAACACACTCATCGGTTTATCAAGTCATGTGGTCTGTCGAGGAATAAACGAACCTTTGTGGCTTGTAAGTTGTAAGAGTATAATACAATGGAGGTTATTGATTAATATTATACCAAATAATATTTTAGTTTATATTGGACGAGAGGAGGCTAAATCAAACAACTATTGATTTTTGGTACTTATTAGGTGGTCATGGTTGACTATTTTAAGTACTATTTGAATGTAACAAAATAAAAAGTAACGATTAGATTGATTGAACAATGTGTAGGTAATTACTAATTTGAAATGTTGATGACTAGATGCGGGTGATCTTGCAGGTCGTCCGGTAGCAACATTGATTTTTAATATGACTTCCACTGGGTTAGGCTAGAAGAATTATAGGACATGACGTAGTGAACAAAGTTCCACTTTTATTACAATAACTCGATGTATAGATTTTTAAGAAAACACATATTTTTTCACGAATAAAATAAAATAAACGTGACTCGGGTGAAATTTTCGTGCCAATCGACCTGAAATTTATAGATATTGCTGTAGACTAAAAATTCTCGAGGACAGATCGATCGATCGATCGATTGAATATATAATAACAACGTTAATTTCAAAGTTTACAAAAACGATTGCATTTTCGTGTTGTACTGGCCTGGATTGATGTAACTATATAAAACGTAAATGCACGTTCCAAAAACGGTGGCGACGAGTAAAACGAATGACATCGAGTAGATTACGCGTGTTAAAACATATTACAATTAATATTAATCGTCATCGTGCCAGTAAAGTACTGCATGATACTTATTGCAAGCATTTACCCCGTTTCCGATTTCCAATGATTAGGCATTACATCAATGTCGTATGTACGATAGGTAAATGAAAACGCAGTTTATAATATAATATTATTACTGTAACGTAATATTTCGATTTTAATGTTTAACGAGTTAATAATTACCGTCCATTACGGTCGATGGCATTGCGACGACAACAGCATACATCTACGTGCATCACATTCGTGGCTTACGGGTTAGTCGCCACTCGTGTGGTCGTTTGGCAGTTTCGCCGCAGTATACGATAGGTATTATAATATTATAATATTTTATGTAAATTTAGGTTGTGGTTTGTTGACGGAGAAAAAAAATGCATCATCTGCACTATTATGATCGGTGTATTGTTTGACGAGTACAATATAATATTATGATAAACACTCGAGAAAACAATTCGTGATGGAGTTATCGCTACAGTTATTGTCGATAATTGCATCGCTGTTGTGTCACCCTGTCGTTTTGATGTCGGCCCGACGGAACATAACTAGACACGTGAGTACAAATAAACTACAATAACGTGGCCAAACCAAAATCGAGTGAAATAATTGATTTTGAGTGCTGGTGAATTGGCGAAGGGATCGTGCGTTTTTAATGCGCGGGGGGTGACGAAGGTGTATACTTGTATCGTGTGCGTTTTAATCGTTTTACATTTAGAGACACTTTTAAGGAGACACCACACCCTCATGTGTTGTCCGTATTTTATCTGTTTTTATGTAGCAGATTTGCGTTCAGTGGAACTCATTATGTGTGGTTAGTTTTAATTTTAGAATTAATTGGCCTATTATCAAAGTTAAAGCTAAGAAAATTATCAGTGATTAAGCGAGACAGGAATATGTAAAACATTGAAATGCTCGTGTCTAGCATATATTTAAATAAAGAATAAAAATCGATACTTGATTATTAATAATTGTCTTACCTTTGACTTTGATAATAGATTAATTCACTATGATATTATTTAAAGCTAAAAACACAAAATGGGGTAGATACTACTGAACGTAAATTTATTATATTGTATATCTATATAGGATGGAGACAATACGTGCCGGTGTGGCGTTTTCAGATGAAATCGATACAATTATATTACTTATTTAAAATATTTGTATTTATCTGAGTACTTAAAGCAATATTTTACACAATATAGGCTGGAATATGTTGCTATACTACTAAAACAGTCTTCATAAATATATATAAATATACCGTGAATCGGTAAAATATTTTTTCCTTATACGACATGTATTGTGATATTTAGTTTTATTTAGAGTATTTGGTATAAAATTAGCTATAGGCGAATTTCTTTCGGAGACTCGAGTAGGAAAAAACCTGAGAAATTTTTTTTTAATAGTCTCTGGTCAACCAAAACAAAATTGTGAAGTAAAGGGCCGAGAAAAGAGTAGTAATTTATATCATTTATAGGTATCACTGTAGTATTTTATATTTTTGTGTAGTTATATATTATTATTACAAATTATAATAAATGTTTTGATAATAAAATATTATCATTATTTTTTAATATTATAATACTTATTTTTTATCGTATCAGTTAGAAAATAGATGATCAATCAATATAATTGAACTATAATATATTTTATGTTAAGTATATTATATAGTAATAAATCGAAATATTTTGTTTTATTTAACCAATCATTAAAACATGAAAATATAATTTCTATATTAAAACATACACCGAGAGAATTTTTTATGAATTCCGTTAAATACAATTTTTTTTCTACTCGTCGATCACGCCAATTATATATAATTATACAGCTATTTATAATTTCTTATACTAGGGTGACCATACGTGTTGTTTTATACAGGATTTTCCTTTATTTCAATTTTATGTCGTGTTATCTTGAAAATCTTCTTTCAGGACGCTTTTTGTCCCGTATTATTCCCGATTTTAGTCTTACTATTTTAGTCTAACTTTTGAAATTGAATTTAGAATAGTCGTTATTTTTTCGGTATTTTTGTATGACATTATTGAATAAAATAATATAAAAATCTATACTCTTCAGTAGTATTTTTGGATTCTTGTTTTTACCATAATTATTGCTAAATCACATTGTTGTCGGCGACGTAAACCGTACTTACGTCCTACATATAATAGTTTAGCCCAATTATAGTAGCTCCATGGCCTCCATATTGAGCACAAGCGTCGTCACACATATTTTGAAATTAGAAAAACCTCGGTATGCTATAATCAGATTTCAGACTGATAGGAAAAACAGTATGAGTAAAGCAATGCCATGTTTTGATCATTGTGAAATCAAAAACTTGAAGGTTTATTTAAATTCTGAAGTATTACCCTACGAAGATTTTCAAAGCGACTTTAATAAAAACAAGATGGCTACATTATACCGCGCATATACCAAGCTTCAGAAATCCTGCTATGGTCCTGATAATTTTACTCCTCTATTGACTTGATCAGATTTCAAAAAACCATCGCCGATTATAGTTATGAATATGACTATATGAGCAGACAAAACGATAATGTAAAAGCGTCAACTGTTGATCTAAGGATTGAGATTGAGACCTAGGAAGCGTTTCAGCCTCCACTTCGGCATATCGCTTAATATTACATGACCAAATTATAACTTAAAATCCATTTAATGGCAAAGTAAGAACAATTATGTAAATATTTATTTTAAAACTTAATATTATTTCAATGAATAAAAAATAATTTTTATATATATCATGTCTTTATTTTACATAAATTGTTAATACAACTGTACTTAGAAGGGTGGATACATCACGATATAACGGGTGGAAAGGGGGGCATTTGAGAGGCTGGGCCGAACATACGAGTATGTGATAGCATAGAGATAGGCTGGACAGGGTAACCGAATTTACCAGTTTGACGGGGGATCCAAAACATACTAAAACATACTACTGACGTGGATCGGCGGTGCTCGTTGGGTTCAGGAGATCCGCCGACAACTCATCGGACGGAGTGATTCATGAGCAGCAGTTATTATGGACTTGTTTTTATTAAGATTCATCGTGTTATTTCCATAATTATTAATGTTATTAATATAAGTTATGTTAACATTACTTGACCCATTAAAATTTTTCATAAAATTAGAATGTTCTTTGTATTTCGGAATATTTTGTTCATTGGCATGACATAATTTAAGAATTTGGGAACACCCTTTAATAAGGGCTAAAAATATTCTGGCATATTTTTTATCATCGGTTTCTATGGGTTGTTTTTTCAATTCATTAAATTTTATCTTTAGTTCATCAATTTCTTTAAATATTGCTTTGTTGTTTTCTATAGTCGTTTTATTCTTGGGTTCGTAAAAAAAAAAAAATTAAAAATTTTTATAATTTTTATACATTTTAAACTTAGTACTTACTAATTGCGCAATTGAATATATATATATTACCAGCCAAACTAAAACATAATAATAAAACTAATATGATATTTTTTTATGTTCATTTTTTTTTATTTTAATATCCACGGTATAATTATCTTCAATCTAAAAAAAAAAATACGTAACAATATTATTTCCAGTTATAAATTACTGGAAAAACATTATAATATTATATACTGTATATAATAAAATACATCTATTATACAAGAATTCATTATTTTTAACAAGATACAATTTCGAAGAATGAATTACACAATGGTTATGTAATCAAATATTCGTTTAGCCTTAAACGTAACCAAGTGTGATTATTAGCTTTTGTTTGTTATTAGTCAGGTTACACAATATATATAAAAAAATATAATCATAATGCACAACATTTATTTATAAGTATAACCGATATTCGAGGCGACCGTGTTGTCTATATGAGACTTGCGATTGACACTCGCAATAATCATCGATCAACGGTACACAGGTAGTGACTATACGATTATATGCCACTCTCTCGTTATCGAAAATGTAAACCAATAATGAAATTAAATTACGTACATGACATACTGCCCGCCCTGAAATACTATTTAAAATTTACAGCTGACAATTAATTAATAACATATAAATAATGAGTTCAATGACTCGGTACTGTTTCTACAATTTACAATTTTTTTTTTTAAGTAAAATACTAATATACGCGATTAAAGGAAATTTTAAAAAGTATTAATTTAATTTAACTATGTTATTTTATATTTTTCAAAATAATATTTTTATGTGTCTAAATTTTAATTTTTAATAATTTAAAAATTATATTTTTTCACAGTTAAAAATCAATAAATAAAAATATAATAAATATTAATTTAAAAATATTATGATTATTATTTTTGTCCTGTTTTTTATAAATGTGGTCACCCTATCTTATACTTACGTGCAATAAACGTGTGTACACACATAAATCCAATCTTCTATTTAAAGTCGTTTCTGATGGTTTTATCAACACGACAAAACTTAAAATGTTGATGGTGAATGGTGAAACAATTAATCGGAGACAGTTAAATAGATATTCATAGTACGTTTGTGGCAAATAATAATAATGACGTATTAATTATTATAACATTATGATCATGTTTTTCGATTTGTTATAATACTTAAGTAAGAATCTGTGAAGTTGGGTTCTTGTGATTTGTGTACTTCGAACAATTGCAAAATTTGTCCCGTTGTGAGTTATTTGCAATATGTATGATGAATACTTGCCATCTCAGCCGGCGAACGATCCATTTATACAGTTATTTTTGTAGGAATATAATATTATGTATTAATGTATTATCATCATCTTATTTTTACAGTTATATAGTCGTGATGACCAAAAGGCGGATGACGTAGCGGTGGATTCGAGATGTCAGCCGTGTAGTGAGTTACATACTATAATAGTATTATGCTTTAGACTTTAGAGGACAGCATATTTATAAGTGGATATTTGATAATATTTGGAGGAGAGGTGTTAAAACTTTGAAAAAATACACGGGGATTAAAAGTATCTTATATTGACATCAGTGTTACCAGATGTATTTAAAATTTTTATAAAGATGCTTAAGATCTCCCCGAACCAGCCCTCCCCCTAAATCCTAATAACCATTTATACATACAAACACATTTACTGTCTTTACCTCATATTAATATAGTAAAATTAGGCCCAAAAGAACACGTTTCCTTTCGTTAGTTTCAAAATTTCAAAATATAACAATATTACTTGTTTCTCGATATTTTAATTTTAAGGCGTGTCATGAGCATTTATAAAATCGAATATATTACTTACAATAACATTATTATTAATCGCTTTGACGTTATGGACAACAGCACATCTATTTATTTATTTGTTCCCGTGTTACGAGCTAGCCAATACGGAGACAATAAATGCAGGTGTGGTGATTACTCGATTATAATATCTATCTCGTCTTATTAAAATAAAAATGAACAGAAAATATTTTAATTTCAAAATTTTGTTTCTTAACGCCGATATCGCGTTTTTTTATACGATTTTAGTAAACGTTAACGAATCACCTGCAGGGAATCCCAACTCGCTCATCATATCTATTTACTAAGACTGTTGCGTCTATTCGTAATACATTACATTTTATACGTAGTGTGCGGTGTTGGATATCCCAGATCGAGAATCGTGGGTGGCAGCGAAGTCAGAGAAAACGAATATCCTTGGATGGCGTCACTGTGGAATACCAGGAGGAAGTTTTTTTGCGGCGGTTCCATCGTCACCGATCAGTACGTACTCACGGCCGCCCATTGTTTTAGGTAAGTGATTTATCGGCCGTATCAATTGATATGAATTACAGAATGTGCCGATTCTCCTTCTCTAGTTTATATATACTTTGGATAGGAACTACTAAAAAAACTAGGGAGGGTATTTTGCTACATTCTGTATTATATTAATTATTAACACGACGACACCACAGTAAAATATTTTGTATTTTCTCGCATTTGAGTACATAGCCGTACAAAAGTAGGTATATGTTTAGAAATAGTTTTAAGAAAAAGATCACAACCTTTCAAAAGTCCTTCTCCCTTTCCACAGGCTGTAAATGTAGAAACAATTTATAATTCCCTTTTTAAAATAAAAAAAATATTTATAAATTCTATGTAATTGTCTTTGAAACAGTAAAAACTTAATGGTCGGGTTAAACAAATCGAATAAAATCTTTTTATTATCCATAAAATATATGGCGGACATCACAAGAATTGAACAAATAATTTTTGATTTTCCATTTATTCAAATCATAAAATAGATTTGTAACTCATAAAATAATATAAATAGTAATGATAAGTCTAAGAAAGTCTTAGACTTCAAAATACGAAACATGCAAACGAGCGACCAATATCCATTCCTACGCGTCTTTACATAAACGACATGAAAATATCAAATCGAAACTATAACTATATCTAATCGGAATAGTAATAAATTATAATTGTCTGTACATCAAAGCGAAGTGCCGACAACCAATTATCGGGAGGTTCATGTTGTACTCGGGCACACCAGGAGGCCCGGCAGACTGTTTCCGGGCGGATCGCACATCATCCGGGCAGCGGTAGTGAAGATACACCACAAGTATAATCGACTGGGAGCGAACGTCCACGACAACGACATAGCGTTGGTCAAGATGGTCAGACCTGTGAAATTCGAACGCACCACCCAGCCCATTTGTCTGCCTATGATCAGTGAGCGAATTATTTTACAAAACTAAATTGTAGGACGTTTATTGACAATATTATTTTACATACCAATATAAATTATTTAATGACATGAATTTTCTATCATTTTAACTGCGCTGCGTAATTCACACATTTGATGGGAGTATTGTTAATGTAGTACTAGTTTAATTAATCTCACGGAAGTTATAAATATTAAAATATGATACCGTATTTTTAATATCTAAAGTAAGAAAACTAGAGTTATACTGGTAATATAAACTATATGCTTGTACGAAGGTATCTATAATTCACTCGCAAATCTATAAATCTGGAATTGGGGTAGAGAGTACAATTTTATTTTTAGAAAATCTACAAATATAGTTTTAGTATATATTAGCAAGGTATTAGGTATATTATTAGATAATATATTTTCAAAACCGTAATTAATTTAACAATATGCATAATATATAACTTATCAAAGGGGGGGGGGGAGTCTGTGCTCATAATAATTGTTATCTATGAAATTTGATTTTTACGTTTTTAATCCTATACAGAGGCGGAGACGCATTCGAATAAGCAACAAAACAGTTAATCGCCTTAGAAAAGTATTTAGATTAACTACAAAATATATATAGTAACTAAAGTGATTTCTGCTATTATCGTTGTAGTTAAGCAATTTATTAAGTGAATTCAACTAATTACATTAATAGAAAATTAATAACTAGATAACTACAGTATTGTACGAAGTATAGTCATTATAGTTAATGTTAAAATATCATTAGATATTTAAACGCTACAAATCAATTATTTTCGTGTAGTCAGTACGACCAAACAATACTAATAACTAATAAGGTACTAAATAATCATTACCCATCTATATGTCTATATCTTACTAGCGTTTAGTTGAGTTCAACTGTAATCTTTAAATGCGAAGTAGTTCTGCGATTCCCGCCTTTTTATTTTCTCATTGCTTCGGCATAAACCGTGTTTATCTTCGTCACGACGTCACGGTTATAATAATATACGCAGGGTACGACTACGGCGGGTTGAGCGCGGCCGTGGCCGGTTGGGGACAGTTGAGCGAATTCAGTAGCACGTCACTAAGCCTCAGACACGCCATGCTTCCCGTGTGGACCGAAAAGGAATGTGCTGCCGTACCTGAGATCGAGAAAACGGGATACACGTCCAACATGATGTGCGCCGGACTCCGAGAAGGAGGAGTAGATTCGTGTCAGGTACGCGTTAGTACCTACATAAATAAACATTTAACATGAGACTCGTGAACTCAAATTCACTCTTTATTTGGTCCTAAAATTTAACCTAATATATGTTCGAAAAAAATCCATTTCACAGGCTTAGGGCTATAAATAAACAATATTAAACAATTGTAGTTCTAGAATATTAAATGCTAAAATAAGGAAAGAGTGTAATTATTATTTATTACCTACTTCGTATTAGTTATTACCTACTGGCTACTTATTAGTAATTAGTACCTAACTTATTGAATAGATACCACATACATTTGAATTCTACTGTAATTGATTATTATTTATTATTATTGTTGTCAAATACTGCTACTTACAGAGTAACAGAGTATCGATGATCGACTATACCTAACCTATGCGATATCTAATTATTAGTCAATTCGTATAGCCAGTATTAAATGACGTGGATAAGATATCGTTAGAAAAATCCAATATTAACTAGCCTTTTTATCCTACTGAGTTAGGTGTATACTAGCCGTATTTAAATAAATCATTTTTAAATTTTATACTTATCAACCTGCCTATCCTGAAGTATCCTGGTTGCGTACCAATAATTGTTTGATGAAATACAGTTATAATTTATAAATATATCCGAATCTGGGACTGAAATATATAGCTCTTAGGTCAAGTGAGCATTTGATATGCTGCGGTTTTATCGCAAAGTCGTTGCTGTCAAAAATCGATCAATCTTGAGGCCTTTTTATGTGCCTTTGTATATTATTGGTCATCAGAGGTTGATAAATAATCCTTTTAGGGCGACAGCGGTGGACCTTTGATGCTTTACGATAATAACGAAAAAATAACAGTGGCAGGTGAGCCTATTGCAACATTATTTCATAAGATATCTTTCGATTTCTATTACAGCTGAATACGTTGGTGATCGTGTAAAATGATTCGTTTTCCAGGAATCGTATCTTGGGGTATCGGGTGCGGAGCTCCGAAACTCCCTGGAGTATACACACGGGTAGACAAATATCTAGGATGGATAATGAGAAATACGAAGGACAGTTGCCACTGTACAAACTGAATCCAGTTTTCATGGATATAATACCCGTTGTAAAAATGTGAGTTTCCATCGTTCAAATAATATGACACGTTTTAATAATATATGACGTACTTATATAATATATACATAATAAATAATAATATAATATAAACTAAATGAAATAGGTACGAGCCAACGCCCAACTATTAACTAATCACGCGGTTTTGTCTAGAATAAATACTATTATGATTTATGATCCATTCACATTTGAAAAAAAAAATCCCAAATAAATTTCCCACAAAAATGTTTGGGTATGTCGATTTGTACGTTGTACACCTGAGTAAATGATTACAACTGTGATGGATGTGTTACATATTTAAACGATTCTCATTGGAGACCACGGCCATAGACGCTAGTAACTATCTAAGGACTAAGACAATAACCAAAACGAAGTGCTGTCTCTATTCATAAATATTATATTCTCACTTAATTTATTTTACCGATATTACTATTAGTAATATAATGACGTAGATATTATATTAGATTTTGAGTGGAGCGATGAATGTACTGATTTTACAGTGATGTGTTTTTTTCGCCTATGTGTACGGCGATACGTAGTCGATAAAATGCGTTAATTTTCAAAAATGGGGGTGATTTTTGGTAGAAAATTGAATTTATTTTATACTTTGAAGAGGTAAAAACAAAAAATTTCCAATATTTTTTTATAATTAACAAAAACAGAAACACACGATAAGGAAAAAACGGGAGATTTTACGTTAATCCAGATTTTGACTAAATCGATTATGGTTTTTTTGTTGTAATACGAGAACAAATAACCGTAGATACTAGAATTTTTCACCAAATGTTTATGCTATCATTTTATAGTTACGATAAAATTATTTAAATTTTTAAAATATTTCGACTGTTTTGAAACTATTTAAACGCACTAGATATGTTTATTGATAACATTTAGTACTATAAATGAGCTTTAAGAGTATCAATACTCAATAGCCAACTTATAAACTAAAACTTCATTACAGCAAACAATATATTTAAGAAAATAAAAAAAAAATACCTATATTAAACTCATGCCATGAATAGTTATTTAAATTATACATGAAACATATCTAAAAGAATTATACATAAACGCCCATGCTTTCAAGGTTTGTCTATTATTATTATTATTATTATAAATTGAGTTTTTAAAGTTTTTTGTTTGTTGATAATAATATGGCGTGTATGGGTAGGTACTAATATTTATGCCAAAAAACAATGAACATTTTAATAATACATAACAAAAATAAAAAGTATTGTATCATACAATACAATTTATATCTACTTTAGATTAGTATGAATAGGATTGTAGTGTAAATAGTGTTTGAACTTTTCATTGAATGGGTATAAAAAATATTATGCGTTGGCAATAGGTATGTTGAATAATAATAGTGAAAAGTTCTTGTAAAATTGTAAAATTAGATTAAAATTTTTTTATTTGAAATTATTATTTTTTATTTAAATAACAAATTTCTTTAAAAAAATGTTTCTGAAATTCCAACAATTTATGAAGAACTTTGTATTCAAATTTTAATATACATGAAATTAGCCTTCAATCTTTGCTCAGTCTACTTCAAAATACTACCAAATAATTACAAATTGTGTATTGCTAATAATAAATTTTTTTTAAATTTTCATACCTTTTAGTTTATGTAAAACTTGTGGTAAGTTTTGTATTCAATTTTCAAAATTTTTAACTTACAATAAATATTTTGTCAACACGCATCAAAAAGGTCAAAATTTGAAGCCTATTATAATAGCTTAAAAATAGTTAAAAACCTGCTGTTAATATTTAAATTTTAATAATATTATCAAAAATTAAGAATGTTTAGTAAATATTCTTGATTTTGTCAGATATTTTTAGTTTTTTTCCTTTACTTTCAAAGTACAAACTAGATTAAATTTGCTATCAGAATGATAGTTTGATACATTATTTACACTTAAAAATGTGGCGAGATATAAAATCAATTAATTTATTGGAACAATCAAAATTTCAAAATAACTATTTGGCATGGTGTATAAATGGTCTATAACATAAATGTAATTTTTTTTTTTTTAAACCTTTAATCTTGGTTTTGAAACTAACAAAAATTAATTGTAGGAAATTGAGTATATACATTAAAATTTGGATTGGAAGTGTGAAAAAATATGTTCATACTATATAGCAAGTGTTTCAATCTGGAGCCTAAAGATGACTACTGTGTTTGGAAATTTAGAATGATTAACTTAAATATATATAATAGGAGAATATTGAGAACAAACATAAATAGGTGATCATTTTAATTTTATATATTAAGTATATAATTAATATAAAATGTTCTTTTTTTTGTTAAATAAAAAAAAAAAAACAAAACTATGTTTTTATTACAAATTTAAGTATTTATGTCACTTTTTTGTTGGACAGTTTAAAATTTAAGATTAGCAGTTCATAAGATTTATAATCAATACCAAAATAAAAATATAAGGTTTCTAAAAATGTTGTAAAATTTATATATACATATTTTCATCACAGAATTTTTTCTAACTTATTAATATAATATATACCATTACATATTCAACACTTTTTATAGGAAATACTTCAATCAACAACCACTCAACTTCACAACATTGAGAGTCTACGACTAATTTTGTTTTTGCAATATAAATCACACTAAAGGTTATCAATTTCATCAAAACACAGTTGATCCATCATCAGTCTCTACTTTTGAATAACTTGATGTATTTGGTCGTCTTCGGTGGTTTGTACTTCGCCGTCCTTCAATTAAAAGCGCAATTATCTGAAATAAGATAGTATTATATGAGAATAGTATGAAAAATGAGAAAGAGAGGAAAACATTAATATAAATATTTTTATTTACAATAAAGCATGTCATAAATATATTTATTTTTTTACTAGATAATATTGAATAGTTTATTTTTATTCTTTTCTTAGAATGTATTTATAAGTCACAGCAAATTATAATGAATTCAAATTGAAGAACATAGTTTTGAAAATTGTATGCTTACTTTTTTCTTATTGTATAAAGCTAAATAAAATAGCATTGATAGTATAGTCATTATGCTGAAGTAGAAAAGGAAATGTGAGTCTTCTGAATCACCAAACCCATGATTTGCAAATTTAGGTTTAGGTCCTAATTTTGATAAATTTTCTTTAGTTTCTGTAAAATTATGATAAATATATTATTTTTATTTTAAAAAAGTAATGTTATAAAAGTATTAAAAATATTAATTTTCAGTTTAAAAATATAAAAAAAAGAATCAAGTTTACCTGATTGCCGAATAGTACCATCGTCTTCTTTAGGATAATCAACACTAGATTCTACAATAAATAATGTATGTTTAAAATTATGTTATGAATATTACATTAAATTTGAGTTAGTTTTATGGTTGTGGATGATAGGCACTAACTTGTATCTGGTTTTGAATCAATTGGAGTTTGGACCTCTGTTTCTTCAATTAGTTTTTCATCTTCAATTGGTTTCTCATCTTCAATTGGTTTTTCATCTTCAATTTGTTTTTCATCTTCAATGGTAGTTTCATCACCATCAATGTTTATATTATCCTTAGGTATTTCTGAACGAAGTTCCTCATCATTATTTTTATCACCGTTATTGACATCAACTATTTTTTGAATATTGTCTACCTAAATAATATTTTAATTAATGATTGATATAACTTATTAAAATATAATAATAAATTATGTAATTATATTTCTGATAAGTAGGTAGCAAAAAGCAACAAGATAATGAATTATAAAAAAGTATTGACTTTTAAAAAACAATACCCAAGTACATTATATTTGAATACAGCATTGATAAATTTGTATTTCACTGAAACAATTTTAAGGGGTAAAATTTGATGAAGTCATTAGTTGTAATTTTTTTACTCTAATATTATATGATGGTAATTGCATTATTTGTTTTCTATCCAACCATCTTTACCAAAGACATAATTCATCAAAACAATTTCTTATTTTGGATACTGGTCAACTAACCTTGGTGTTAAATTACTTATAATGATTATTATAGAAGAAAATATTCTTGAGGGTTGTTTCAATATTGTCTTAAAATTTTAAATCTATTTAAATTAACAATTTTAATTTTATTATTAAAGTTAAATGAATAGTTAGATAATAAATAAAATTCAAATAATAAACTTAAAAATATTATACTCTATAATTTTACTTTAATATTACTCAAAACTCATAACAAAAGATTTTGAATAAATGCGTTTTTTATATGGGTTAAAAAGAAAACAAATATTGCATTAATATAAAAATAAAATAAAAACACTAACAATATACATAGTAAAATCAATAGTTTGTTTTGTTTTGTATAATCAATACATAATGTGCATTTAATATTTTTTACAACTTTTGATTCTCAGTTAACATATCATGTATGATATGAAATATATGAATGATCTAATTATTTTATGATGTTTATCTTGTAATGAAATCTATGGTAGTAGTAACTTATTAAATATAACTTCATATTATACCAAACTTAATGATTAGAATTCTTTTAAGATATTTTTAAAAATAATAAACACTTACGTTCTTTTCATTTTCTGGAGATTTATCAACTTTAATTTGAGGTATGTTCTCAGGGTTTTTCAGCTCTGCAACAACGACATTAGGAACAACGGGTTCTTTAAGGTCTTTTGATGGATTGTCAATATTTTTTTTTATAGCTAAAGCAAATCAAATACAGAATTGTATATTTATAGTATACCTTATAAAGTTATAATATTACTTACATTTATTAAATTTTTCTAAACCGCCACTGTAGAACAGTAATACCTCTACATTTAAAAATTTACAGTATGTATGCAATTCATTGTTTAAATTATAACAGACCTTATTCCATTTGTTTATATTGTTTAGCGGATCCATTAATAATTTCATTGATTGGGAGTTTTTGGTCATGTTTGTCCACATTTCATATATGACTTCGTCTTTTAATTTGTGATTATTAGTCATGAATTTTGCAGTTTCTAAGTTTGAGGCATTTATGAGATTGTAATCAAATTCATTGCTAATGTTGTAAATCACCGTACAAAAACACGGAAAAGTGTATTCGTTTTCCACCATTGTGAAATTTTTAACATCCAGTAACGGAAAATTACAAAATTTGTCGAGATTTAGCTCTTTGAAATAGTTCACCAAATCGACTTTGCCAGACGACATCATAAGTTGACTAATAGTTTTTTCAGTCGGTGCCGTCGACACATTCCAAATCTGCAACGTGACGACTATCAGTCCGGCAAGTATCGGCCGTATACCGACCGTGATCATGACGTTATTGTTTTTCGTTTCGTCGTCCAAACTTGATAGACTTCACATTATACAGCGAACGCAGAGTTTCGAAAAATTAAGTAAGTGCCAAACATAAACGGAAATCTGAGGACGAGTTTGTCGTCACACTCCACGAATCCAATGTCAACTAGTAATAATTAAACCCTGAGCCGAGTCATAAATTTATTCGAAAAAAAAAAAAAAGCTGTACAAATACGAACAACTACTAAATTTAGTAAATTAGGCAAAAAATACTAAAGCACACAACAGAAAACAGTAACCTGAGTATAGTTATAGTATATTTGAATACCGAATTGTCGAATAATTTATATTATTCTATTGAAGTCACGAAGTTAGTAGCAGCGCTTATCGGTCCTGTTATCAGTATTTATTTTCGTTTTCACGTTCATGCCCGTAAACATAACCTTAAATCATCTGACCGGGCAAAACTCTTACGACGGACATTTCGAATATTTAGATTTCTTCGATAATAATACTGAAGTAAACACAAAGTATAATTGAAATTGATTATATTATAGCCGTCTAACTGAAACGTCAGAAACAGAACTATAGAAATAAGAAACTGTGGCATTTCGGCCGCAATGTTCATAACGATTTTCATTGTTTAATATCCATTGCTTATATTATTAGTTAATATAAATTATTTAAAAAAGTAGTTATCGAGTAAGTCAAATTTTAAACAAGAATAAAATGGTAAAGCGCAAGAGCGAAGTAGCTCTGGCTGACGCCGAACAGAATAAATCGGTTAGAGAAAAGTATTTGAAGACCGACAAGGTAAGTCTTATGAATTTTAGTACGTTTGGACGTTAATGTTTGGTCATGTCGATTTCATTAAATTTAATTCTGTTTATTTTACTATAGTCCAATGTCCGTACATCCAGTCTTTTTATGCCTATCATGGCGTTGGAAGGTCATGATGGTGATATATTTGCTACAAAATTTCATCCTGAAGGCGATTATCTGGCCTCTTCGGGTTTTGACAGAAAGATTTGTAAGTACATAGTCGTCAATGTACGGCATAGATATTAGTCAGAGATGTATATATTTGTTTAAATTGACTTAATATGTTTCAGTCATATGGAGTGTGTATGGTGAGTGTGAAAACTTGGGTGTCCTCACTGGCCACTCTGGAGCTGTTCTAGATATGAAATTCTCCACTGACGGAACATTAATATACACAAGTAGTACTGATATGACAGTTTCATTTTGGGATATTTACAAGGGCCAAAGAGTCAAAAAACTTAAAGGTATTCTAGGATATTCAGTTCATCAGTCAACTATTTACTAAATATTGAAATATTTAGTATCTATATTTTTTTTTTGATAATAATCTTAATGCGTTTGTTTAGTATGAATGTTTATTATTTGTTAAATAATTTGTTAATAGGTAAATAATTTTTTTTTTTTAATGTTAAAAGTTTAATAAGAGGAGTCACATATCACTGGATATCAGGAATATATTTCATAATGTACTATTTCATCTAGTCAAATTCTTAACAAATACTTAACTATTAATTTAATGTTTCCTGGTTATGAAATCAAAAATAATAAATATACAGATACCAAATAATAGGCTGGAACTTGGTTTAGTTTATATATTTTTTATTTGATGAAATGCAAAATATTTTTGTCTAACACTATTTGTTTTTTTAGGACATACAGGGTTTGTTAATTCCTGTGACTCTGCAAGACGTGGACCTCAGATGATCACAAGTGCTTCAGATGATTGTACTATAAAAGTATGGGATCCTAGAAAACGAGGAGGCGATGCAGTAACCACTTTTAATAATAATTATCAAGTGATGTCCGTATGTTTTAATGATACAGCTGATCAAGTCATAACTGGTGGTCTAGATAACGAAATAAAAGTAATATTATTATTTATATATTTTAGTATTATTAATGTTTAATATAATTGTTTATATTAGATTTGGGATTTACGTAAAAATGCGTTACTTCATCGTTTACCTGGCCATACGGATACAGTGACTGGACTTGAATTGTCACCCGATGGTTGTTATTTACTGTCTAATGCAATGGATAATAGCTTGAGAATATGGGATGTTAGACCTTATGCACCTGCTGATAGATGTTTGAAAGTCTTCTCAGGACATACTCATAATTTTGAAAAGGTATTTTAATATTAAAAAATGTATTTGACTAATTTACTTAGTCATGCCATAAGTTCTGTCCCTATTTATAAGTTATTCTATTAATATTTTATGATAACACTGATGACTTTGTTTATGAATATAATTTTCAACAATTTTCATATTTACTATTTTTGGTTAGTACGATTGTTCACATCACATATTAAACATGGAAGGGGTATTAAAGAAAATCGTATTGCTGTTTTGCGTTATTTAAGTGTAATAAAATACTATTAGAGATTTTCAACTCATTGAAACTGTTGAAAATAACGAAAAAATTTGTTTATCGGACCATAAAATGGTTCAAAGAGTTCAACACTATAGATTACAAGCCAAGAAGTGGACGTCCACGTGAAATAAGAACAAATACAAAAGTTAAAGCTGTCGCACAGAGGATTCACAGAAATCCACTTCGCGAGCAAAAAATCGTGGCTAGAGAAATGAAAATTCCACCAAGAACCATGTCACGCATTATTAAAGAAGACCTTGGCTTTGGTGCTTATTGAAGAAGCACCGGTCAGCGGTTGACAGATGCGTTACGTCAAATTAGAGAGACAAGAACGAAGGAGTTATATAAGTGGTACACCAAAAATGGCCACAGACAGATACTGTTTACAGATGAAAAAATTTTTACTGTGGAAGAAAAATTTAACCATCAAAATGAGTTTATACTCACAACTCTCTGGAAGCTGCTAAAAAAATTCAAAGAGTAAAAAGAGGATGTCATCATCCAGCCTCAGTGATGGTTTGGTTGGAAGTATCATATGAAACTGCATTTCTGTTAACAGGAAGTCAAAACATGCGCGATTAACTACTAAAATGATATTTTAGAAAAGGTAGTGAAGCCTTTAAGTGATACCTTGTTTGTAGGAAAGAACTGGACCTTTCAGCAGGATTCAGCGCCTGCACATAAAGTAAAAACAACACAACGCTGGGTAGAGGTCAATTTACCTGAATTTATTGCCGCTCAAGATTGGCCCTCAGGAAGTCCAGACCTCAATCCTTTGGTTTACAAACTGTGTAGTATTTTAAAGGAGAAGGCCTGCTCTAAGCCCCATCGAAATATCGAATCATTAAAAGCCGATTTGGTAAAATTAGCTGCCTCAATACCGTTAGAAGTGGTGTGGCTGTCACAGACGAGTGGCCATATCGTTTTAAAAAGTGTATAAATGCAAACGGTGGCCATTTTGAATAGTATTTAATTTTTTTAAGTTACTAAGTTAATAAAGAATAAACAACATCAGTTTTTATAAATTTATTTTATTTTATTTATTAAGTATACACATTTGTATAAGGAACAGAATTTATGGCACAACTAGGTATATCTTGTTTTATATTTATTTGATTTTTATTTGTTTTTAAATTTTTGTTATAAGAACTTATTGCGGTGTGCATGGTCACCTGACGGTTCAAAAGTGTCAGCGGGTTCAGCTGATCGATATGTTTATATTTGGGATGCTAATACTCGTAGAATATTGTATAAGTTGCCAGGTCATAATGGAAGTGTAAACGATGTGGACTTCCATCCCAAAGAACCAATAAGTAAGTAAAATGATTTAGGTCATTTAGGTCTTCTTTAGAAGTAATAGCATAGGATATCATTGTGAAGTAGGACAACTTATTTAATGCTTATTATGTAAATTATATTTTTGTTTACTGATACAAATGATAATTTAATAATAATAAGTTTTAGTGTTTATTTATTGTTACAAGATAAGCTATCATTATTTTAATATTATTGAGTTTATTGTGAGTATTAGATGGTACTTTAATTTATCATTTTCCTAAGTTTTCAAGAGTAAATAATAAATTATTTACTACTGTAATTATACTAAAACACTTAATTTTAAATATATATATATATTAAAAACTTCTTATGATGTGATTGCAGAAGTTTTTGAGTGAATTTATGATAAAAATATTCTTTTTTCTTTTAAATTTAATTATAATTTAATCATAATATAACTATTAACAATTTAAAAATACTCTTGTAAACAGCTTGTTTAATTGAATAAGACATCCTCCCCCAAGAGGAATCTTAAAAGATTTTATTTTAATAAATAATAAAATTTTATTAAAATGGTAAAATAACAATTACAATAATATAATATACCTAATATATACATTTTTCTATGCTAAAATTCAGACAAAAATTTACTTGTAAATAATTTACAACATGTGAACTTATGTTTAACTGTAATTGTAATTGCTTTTTAAATGTGTTTTTATTTTTTTTTAGTTATGTCAGGATCCAGTGACAAAGTTGTATATCTTGGCGAGTTTGATTGAATCCATTTGAAACTGAACTGACACTATTGTAATTTTAAATTTATATTAAGGTATTTACATTTTTCGCTACTTTGTATTTATACAATTAAATTCAATCATATAATAAAATAAATGTTTATTTTTTAAACGTTGATTTAGTATTTTATGTATTCATGTTATTCAAATTCCACAAATATTGAAATATGTATACATTATTAAAAATTATTTGATGTTCGCAGTATTGTTTATTTTTTAAATTGTACTTTGAACAATGTAACTATAAAATATTTTCAAAAATAAGGAAGTATAAATATAAAAATAAAAATAATTTCATAAAGTTTCTAACCTTTTGTATAATTTACTTTTTTTTTTTTTAATAATAATTTAATGTAAAAATTATTTATATTCTGTAATGTATAGTTAATAGTTATTTATATAAAAAAAGGTAAATCTCAATGAAATTATTTTTATCAAATACCAATTTACAAACTTTTAATGATTATATGCTAAAAAATAATTGATAGTAGACTGTGGTATACTAAAACATTACTTTGATCATAGTTGTACTTAGTATTTACTTAAAATTTGAAATTAAATTGTTATTTACATAATTACATAGGAATATAAAATAATGGAAAGTTTAATTAATGATCTGCCTTGTGAAAATTGTAAAATAACGATTTAAAGACTTAAAGTAAATTCAAAATGTTTACATTGGCCTTAAAATTACATTTTGTTGATCATTAAAGTATATATTTCAATCTTAATTAAATTGTCATTATATCTACTTCTTAAATTATGCAGTAAAACTATAAATTGGATATATCTTTTAAATAACTAATCTATTTTAAACTATTTTAAATGTAAAACATTTTTACTTTTTTTTATTATTAAATCTAGTACTTATTTAATTTACTAATTTATGTTTTTTGTATTTTTAACAATGCCCACAAATTGTTGAAGTATTTTTCTGGTAATTTAATGTAAATAACACATTGTAGGTATGTTAATTAATTAGAAAGACAGTAATTTTATTTTTCATGATGCATATAGTGAATATATTTTTATGCAATATTCAGCTTATTGTCTTTTTTCTACCATGATTAAAAAAAAAAAAAAATATATAGCAAATAGAAACGTAAAAGGGTTATCAACTACAATCAATATTATATACTGTACACACTACATAGGATGTGTCATGCAAATATTGAATTATATGTTTAAATATGTTAAAATTATCTCAAAAATTATTAAAAAATTTCTCAAATTGTCAATTTTTCTATGGTCTATGATACACCAATTATATTTCTACAATTTTATTTTATCACAATAATTAATTATAGTTGCAATTAAAGTATGATTATTAAGTAATGAACTTTAAATTAATAATAAATTATGTGTTCTCGTTTGAACTTAATATTACGATAATATTTGGTAAGTGTGCTATATTATATTTGTGTTGTGATTTCTAGTTGTATACAGAGTACTGTGTCTTCAATCTGTATCATTGTGAACAATAGCATCCTTCTTTGGAGTTTTCTTTGATCCAAGGCAAATATTTGGCAACTCTTGTGTAAACTCCAGGATATCCAGGACGGGCACATCCGTGACCCCAGCTCACAATCCCTATACACACAACAATGATATCATAAAATTATTATATTATACTTTGGAGAATCAAATGTAAAAATGTCTCATTTTTTTTTTTAAATAACTGAAAAACATAAAAAATAATATTAAGGAAAACTGTGATTTTTATGGAAAACTAATATCTAAAAATATCAATTATAGTTTAAAATGTTTAAATTTTGACTTTTGACATGTAAAATAATGATTTTCTTATTCGTTGTTAGTATTTCAAAAACGAATAATTGTAAATATTTGCAATTTTTACCTATCTAAATATATAAAATATACATTTTTTTCTCAGTTTTCTAAATATTTCAAATCTTTATGAACTATGTATTAATATTTGTCAAATTTTTACTTTTTTATTTTTTTCATAAATGATAAAAATGTTTTAAATGTAATGCATAAATTATAGTGACTTATTCCTCAATCATGAAGTGCACTACAGCAGTAGTTGCCAACTTTCTCCGTTTTTAACGATTTTTAATTTAATTTATATTTGGTTCGTTTAATGTTGCCTGTAACAATTTATAAAATAATAAATGATGGTTATGTCTGTTGAAATTTTATTTTAGAGACTTAATAACGTTATATTAACGTTGATGTGGCTAAATTGCTTTTATGACCTGACCACCGCGGAAATTCTATTTTAACAATCATATATTATTATAAAAGCCCTACGCTGTGTTGTATTACATTATATATATATATATTTTTTTTTAAATTGATTTGTATGGAAAGGTTTTTAAACGATAATGGAATTATTTTCACGTCAATTTTTCCGAAAAGAGAAATAAAATTGTATTAGATTTTTTTTGTTTCAATATCATATAGTATTTAATTGTGTATCTTTAACTCTGTAATATTTATTTACACTACGTGTATGGAAGTTTTGTGTATTATGTGTATGTGTACACATTAAATCAGGTTATACCTACTTAATTTATTTAATTCGTACAGGTCGTTGACACATCATATGTAATACATAGCTCGCAATTACGATACTTAAATTTATTTCTGTACAGTAATAAGTTGTAATATAGTATTACAATATAATTAATACCTTCCACGTAATAATTGCCGATGGCAACCATTAAATAAATAAATGATCGTTATTATTATTAATTAATTAGGTACTTACTTAAAAATCTATTATTCGCAGATAAAGTTTTGTCTATTTTATTTTTAAATATTTTTAAATATAGATATTATAACTCTCGGGTCACGGAAACGAAGCCCCAAATTATCGACGAGCGAAGCGAATTGGGGGCAGAGCGCGCTAGTTGTATCGCCCATAAAATAAGCTTTACATTATGGTATTATTTTTATTTATAATTTAATTTTATACCGTGTGTGTACAAGGTCGTGCCCAGAGGGTTTTACTCGCATTACGCAAACCTAGACATTTAACATTCCGTTTCTTTTTTATTATTAGTATAATATTAATATTAATAATATAGTATTACAGTTCAAACAATTATTGTAATGTAGGACGAAATACTTGAAGCATATTCTAATTTTAGTCGAAACTTTTTTCCGAACATTTCATTTTGATTAAAAATGTTGATTAGGTACTTTACCGGTGTTCTGTTTACGAAACTCTATCGCTGAAGATAAATTAATGTGTTTAGCATTATTTAGTGTACGCAGAAATATTCACGTCAATCCTAAGGAAGTAATCAACCGTTTTTCTAAGGAAAAAAAAATAGAAATTCAAAATTTGTGCTGTAAAATCGAATTTTATTTTATATTATATTGTATTGTGCGCGTATTTAAATAATTATTAACAAACCTTATTAATTTATCTATGGGCGCCGCTTAAGGTGATGTACGTATTTAGTACCTAGTTTTAAAGCATTTATGAATTGTTCGTTATTGTTTTATACACCACTTACTGAGATTTATATAACCACCCCCCCCCTCAAAAGTTTGTTCTGGACTCGGCTTCGACCGTGAAGTGGCAATACACTGCGGCAAAAAACGGAATAATATGAATCTTTTCAATACGGGTTATTCGTCAAAATCTCGACCGATGTAAAATATTTTATACATTTTTATTGATTTGAATAGTTCGATTATTGACGTTTTATTTTTGCGGCCCAATCCTTCAGCCACACCCAAAATCCGACCCCGTCGCTTTACAATATTATTACATCCCCCACAATATTCGCAGCATAATAACGAGACGTACCTATGTCGTCAATCGTTACGACGGTAGTGCAAATTTGACAATAACGCTATTATTATTATTATTATTATTATGCGTACCGATGATCTCGAACCGTTTGTTTTCCATGAGTCTCATCAGCGGTCCGCCGCTGTCGCCCTGACAAGAGTCCTTGCCGCCAAGTTCGTGTCCCGCGCAAATCATGTTCTCCGTGATCAGGTCGCCCGTGTAATTGGTCTTGGCGCACTCGTCGTTGTCAACGATCGGCACGTCCACGTGTCTCAGGTGACACGACGGACTTCCGTTCTCGTACAGCGTACCCCAACCCGCCGCCTTTCCTATGCCGTTGCTGTACGTGTCGTCTGCAAAACGTTTTTTCGTCTATTACCGTTGTAACGTTGGCGAGTCGTGCAGGTATATTATAATAATTATTATATTTTATCATCGATATAGCTATTTAATATACGTACTTATAATGTAGGTACATTATACACGGAAAAACGACTTTTTACATATATCTAGGTAAGACGTATAGGTATATGTAATAAATCACAAGCACCCATATTGAATACCGCGGTTACAGACACTCGGAATTTATGACCTGTAGTTAAACCTTTTCCCTTTGTGTTGAAATAATAGTATTCAGGTATCTCTATTTACTGCGAATCGTCGAGACCGTTATCGGTGATGTTGGGGGGGGGGGGTTAGTTGTAAACTCGGCACGACTAATATATCATAATATATTATGGAAAATAAAAAAAGTCAATTTTAAAGTTAGTCGTTAGCAATGATCTTTAAACTATCCAAGTACACAGGCTTTTTCAAACTTAACACGATTTTCCAGGGAATAATGTCACTCTATAATACATACATAACAACCCATGTCTCGGAAAAGGATTTTTTCGTCGTCTGTCAATAGTCTCCCGCCGGCCAGTGGCTCCCACATAGATCCAGGAATTAAGACCTTGTCTGCGATTTAAACAACCTAGGTTTATGTATAGGTATGTACGTATTGTATTTACAACGGGCGCCGAAAACAGATCTCTGCGGAAATTAAACGTCGGTTGAATCAATATAAAACTATACGGAGCAACGGCGTGTACCCACATGTATCTTTATACTGACATCCGGCTTGCGAGCCTTAAGCGCACAAATAATTGCAGGATGAACAAGCGTTCTGCGTATTGGACTTTTCCCGATATTCGTTACGGACCGCCGTGGGCGGCTACCCGCGCGTTGTTAAAAAAAGACAAACAAAAATCTATTAAAAATTAAACGAACGACGAATAATATACGCGTATAGACGTGTATTATATCGCCGGATTGCCGTTTACACTCGCGTCAATGCGTCATTGATTTGAACCAAATACATTATTAATCACGAAAGCATACGACGACCTACCTAATGAAAACCGATTTTGTAGAAAAACTCTGAATTTCAATTGCATAGTGAGCGATTACCAGTTCAAACAGTGAACGTGAAGTAGGTACAATCATTGAAAATTATCACTTATACCTAGTGAAAAAAATAAACGGTCATAACCCATAAGCCTATTACTTAATTTTTATATACAGTAATTCATTTTTGGATTATTATATTTACTAAAATATAATAGGTATATTAGTTTTTGTTGATTAATTATTTTGGTGTAATATTATGCTAGTTTGCTACACATTTAAATGGGTAATAATTTATAATAGCAGATGTATACAAATTACAAATATAACAATACAATAAAAACATAATCAACATTACCAATCAACAATCTTGAACTGCGATCCTTGATAATAATATTTAATATTTTGGATGGAAATATGTACAATTTTGTACTAAGATTTTGTATTATAATATGATATTCGTAAAATTTTGTTCACTGAACAATGAAAATTTTGGATGTAATTTGTACAGTTCCAAAAATACACATCCCCAAAGGTTAAAATCCTTACTTATATACAATCATATGCATCGAAACTATTAACACAAACATATTATTTTTTTCACTTACGGTCTTTACCAAATAGAAGGTACCTATATTGCAAGTGCTTTGCATTACTGTATAATTTATGTTTCTACTTTGAATCAACAATTCATATCTTATATTTTAAAATTATGAATTTTTCGTTCATTATGAAAGGTCTCGTATAGGTCATACGGGTTTCTCGTTCAAAATTGAGTAATTAGGTTTATTATTTAGCAGGTTTCATATTTATCCAGGGTATTTTAACTCCTGATACAACTAACTGCTGAGAATACTAATAAAATAATATGTCCACGTGTCTTGATTTCCATCACAATTCGTGTCAATACAATTAGTTTGTATGTGACTGAGTATCAATTGCTGAATAATTGTCATAGATTTGTGATTAAAGCCAATGTCTACATATTAAATCGAAGAACTATTTTTTTTTTGTAATTTTACATGAATTTTTAATAAGAATACTAAGAGAAATGTTGTACTTTGAAATATGAAATTAAAAGCAAAAATGAGTGTTCGAAAATTTTTTGTTACAACTCAGTGTACTTACTACTTACTCTGAATAATATATATTTTATATAAGTTACTAATTTAATACAACGTACTTGCATCGGTCGGCAAACAAACGGGCCTTATGGTTGCGGTCATTGGCACTCGGTCATTGAGTCGTAACAGCGCCAAATCGTTTTGAAAATTCAGGTAACTGAATTCACCTACAATAGACCTCAAGACGAATCGGGTTTCTGGTTTTCTGGTGGTGTTGCAATAATCGTGTTCGCCAAAGGTGACTTTGATCAGTGGCCAAAAGAATCTGCAAACAAGAAATTACAATAAAGTACATAGCGAACGGAGTAATTTTTTCGTAGTTATTGTTATTCGCACACAGGATGATTATTTTAACATTAAACGCATGAATAAATAATTTTAATAATTACATGAATTTGGAAACAAAAGTTGTAAGTTATTCTATTTTTTATTTACAATTTATATTAACTAATTTTACCAGTAATTTTTATTACAGAAGGAAAAGATTACAAAAGGATATATGATAAGAGAAAATATCCTTAGATACCATAAAGTATATGTTATATAGATAATTTCTGAGTTCAAGTATTATACCCTTCACGATATCATAAAGCATGTTAAATAGATAATTTTTGAGTTCAAGTATTGTTTATTTTAGTTTTTTATAGTTTAATTATAATTATTGTTTTATTTATAATTTTGTTGTAACTAGCTATTACTCAATAGCTATTAGGTATACCTATTAAAGTTTACTTTTGGAATGTACTTTACAACACAGAATACAGAATATTAAATTCTTAACTGATTCAAAACTAAATAAATATTATGTAGTAAATTTAAATAATGAAATGCATCAATATAAGTGAAAGTATTTATACCTACATAATATATTAAAATTTTAATTTGCCTATATTCTGTAGATAATATTAGAACATTAAGTATCCTCTTTTAAATTATAACCAGACTATTTTAATTAAGAATATTAAAAATGTATAAACTATTCATTATAAAATAGATTTTACAATGTATATTTTCGAGATTTTTATAAATTTCGTAAAAACTTATAAACAAATTTGGGAGTACGTATTTTTGATATTATTTGATTTATACATGAAAAATTTATGAGGGACCTTATTTTAAATTTTCAAGCATTTTATCCAAAAACAAAATTTCATCATGTAAAAATCAAAACAAAACAAAAAAATGTCAACAATTTAAAATACTTACGAATAATTCAAAAAGAGCGAAATTATTTTGAAAATTTTTCTTATTAAGTAACTCGTAGATGTTAACATTGATATTTAGTGAACATTTCAAGTCTCTATAATTATTTTTTAGTCACAACAAAAAAAACTCTTTTAAAAAATTGTTTGCAAGAAGAATTTTTGTTATTTTAAGAAGTACTAAAATTTTTTTTTAACCGTCCTCCCCTATTTAGATTCAATTTATCGGAAAGTTGAAAACCATAGTTTTTTATGCTTTATAAGGTGACGATAGACGGAAAAACCATGTATCGTTGTAGAATCAGTGCATTCATTGTTCCGCTTAGAATTTAAAATGTTTTTCGTACTGGTATAATAGTAATTATTTTTCTAATTTTTGTGATATTATGTTACGGAAATATTAAATACAGTCTCTAATAACGTATTCAGGTGTGTCATGTGCCCATATCGTATACTAAATAGTGAAAATAAACCTGCGCTTTAAATCTATGTATTATGCAAATTATCATTATTGTCGTTGTTCAAATGCAGTTTATAGGTACCCTTTGACACAGTGTGCGGCTGTCAGCACGTATCTGTCGTTGATCAGTGTACCGCCGCAATAGAATTGATTGAAATACGACAGACGGACCATCCAGGGGTATTCGTGCACGCCCGATGGTTCGCCGCCTACAATCTTCGTGTCGACGTTCGGTGATCCGCAACCTGTTTTGATTATTCGCACAAAAAACATTGGTATTAAAATATATTTTAATGTTTAAAATTTCAAATTTGTACTTAAAAATAGGGAGTGTGTGTAATAAAATGTATAGCACTGAAGAGAAAATATGACTTTAAAATATCGCGTGAAAGCACATTACCATGTTTAATATCCTTTATGATATTGTGCGCTTTTCATAATAATCTGTTAATTTATATCAATGTATATATTATGGTCTACTGAAGTGTTAGGTATATGATGTGTATAATGTATATTGTAGATTTGAATTTAGGTTTACGATTATTAAAACTATTTATACCTTATAGAATACTTCGTTATATCTTTCAATCGTTTAAATTTATTTGAAATAAGAAATTAAATTGTTTGTAAAGGGTCAAATTTCTTTGTAAACATTTTTCGGTTTGGTCGTACTCGTAACTCTTATGGAGAATTATTTTCCAACTTCTATACAATATATACAGTATGGATAATGGACGATAATGTGGTTGATTGTTGACTGCATGTTACACAATGGGTATAATGAAGCTACGATATTGGTCACCAGAAAATAAGAGAAGAATATAATATTGAAAAAGAGTGCAGTTACTCCAACTTCTGTTTTTTAATACTTACACAGTTACACGTCTTGAGAAATGAGAATAGAACTCGTGTAATAGGTAAATACTTTAATGAATTATTTAAAATGTTTAAAAATACCTTGTTAATTTTAATATATTAGTATAAATTTTATATTTATAATAATAAATAATATATATATATATATATTAATATAAACATATTTATTTATAATATTTTAAGATAATAATATTATAGTTATTCAACTACATTTAAAAAATTCAGAATAGCAGAAACGAATAAAAAATATGCTTAAAACTTTAAATTATATTTATAAATTTATAATAAACCGTTATACCACATATTATAATTTGCTGTCATGTGATAAATTATCACATATTTTACTCGACTCGATGAGCAGACAAATATTATAAAAAGGTATTTGAGTACTGTTATTAATTATACGTTAACACTTATTTATAATGCATAATCCTAAGTTATTACATCAATGGTCGTTATATTATATCACATGTCACAGTAATACGCGGTTATTAAACGTCGTGCTGACACGGGACGGCGACTTTGATTAAATAAATGTCAAAACGGTTTAAATACGCAAAGTTTGGTTTCGTAAATGTCAAAGTGTAAAACACTTCATGCATTAAAACTAAAATTATATTTACTCTTCGATTGCTGTGACGTCGAAAATAGAATTAACGTTAATTATTAATAGTTCTCTCTGCAAAGTGAATTTTACAGCAAGTTTTAAAATTTTATTTGGCAACCACGATCGAACTTTATTTTATCACTTTTAAAGTATTAATATTTATTTTTGCGTTCTTGATGAAAAATTAAAAATATTTTAGTCGTGTTCAAAATTTAAAACGTATCGCGCATTCATGAATTTTATATTTTCATACTTACTGATTGCTTATTATTTTAAAATTAAATAGATTAAAAGAGTTTTATCAAGTAAAATGTATACTCAAATCACGATTTATTTTAACTGCCAACTTAGCGTAATAAAACAATAAATTGGTTTATTATTTTTATAAAATTTTACATTTTGAGTCATATTTTAAAACATAATCTAAAATAGTGTACGATATACATAATACATTGTATAATATAGAATAATAAAGTGATATATCTGTGTATAATATATTTCATTACCTGTTTTGTCACCCAAGGGCTAGAATATATTTAAATATATTTAAATAAAAATGAAATGCTGTTCGTTGATAAGCGCGTATAACTTGAAAAATGATGGATTGATTGAGCTTATTTTTTTTTAAATTTTCAAATAAAGACTTTATAGAAAAAAAATATTAGCTGTTTGGAGAATTGAAAAAATTTGGGAAAAACTAAAAGTGCTTTTTTTGGTGGGATTTTATCATGAATTCGCGATCATAACGCTTATACGTATTTACCTACGTTTGCCGGGTCAGCTAGTCCAAAACATAATGTTTAATTTTGGCGTTATTCACAATTTTAACAATCGAAATTATACACATATGGTACCTATAAATGTTAAATTATAAAATATTTTTTTAGTACTGTATCCAGTACCAACGTATATATTATTATTGAAATATAATACCGACCTATATTGGTATAAGTCATTTGTGTATTCATATTTTAACCTAATTTCTAGAGAAATGTGTAAAAGACAATGAATATCAAAGGTACGTATTATATTTTTCTTCAGACGCATTGTTTTTTATGAGTAAGAAACCTGTGATTTACAATTAATGAATGGACGAACGGTGGATCATGAGTATAATATCATACTTATGTATGATGTGTAAATGTATAACGTACAAGATTAATTTTGTAAATATATAGAGAAAGAAATTAATTCTGAACATTTTGGCCTTTAAGATTAAATTTATGTTTAAAGTTTTTATAACATACTTGATAGGTTTATCAGTTAATTAAGTCGAAATCGTGTAATGGACAATAGTATCGTAATATTTTAACGGGAATTATGTAACTTTAGGTCAAGTTCTTTAGTATTTTTAATAATAATATTAATAATGATAAATAAGTTGAATATCGTATGAAAACCATTAATTTCTATGATATTATCAATTATACAAATTACTATTCAACTAGTCTATTATTATTAAGGGACACGGTAGGTACCTACTAATTTCTCAAATTGTCCACTATTTCATAATATTTGTAAATTATATTTTATATATTATTTATAAACTAAATTATTATACTTTTTCGCTATTCTCCAGTTCATTACCTATATTTAAGGAAGTAGGAGAGGTTATAGGGTGTATTATATTTTCAAAAATACTTCACAGGAAAAATGCTCAAGCTTCTCAGAATAATTGTTAAATTTTGATAAATATTTTTTTTATCCAAAAGAAAAAGATTTTTAATAGTCTTCATTGAACTTTTTTTAAATTTCTTTCAAACAATGGCTTAAAAAAATTGGAAAAAAGGTTACAACTATAGATGTATGTTTCGACGTACTATAAAGTTTGAGATTAAAATATTGATTTATTTGATTCTAGAATTATGTTCCTGTATAGAGTATATTTTTGAGGACAAAATGAAATTAACATTGACTATTATAATATTGTTTTATTTAATGTTTATATTTGTAACATTCATTTATCGTATTGGTTTATGGTTATAAGTTATTACTTTTTTAAATTTTGTGGTAATCTTGATAATTGTTAAGTGAATTCAAAAGTTAAAATCTTTTAAGTATAAATTTTAACGATAAAATGTGTTACGGAGTGTTTAATTTCTGTACTCGTTCAAAGTAGAAATTCGAATGATACCCTTTAATTAAGTTTCTTTTTTCGTGTTCCATAAAGTTGTGTTAAATATTATTTTATGTATTTATTTCTTGAATTTTATACTCTACTAATGGAAAAAAAAAAATTTAATCTCTGAATAAATGTTATACAATTTTAATCAATTTTATAATTCTATGATGTAAAACTTAGTGTATTGGAGAAAAAATAATAATATCAAATTTAACGATCAAATTAAAAAAAAAAAATTATTAGTTTAATTATTAAACTTAACTGCATTTTAAAATTTTCTATACATACGGGTTGGAGTTTACCAAAGTCGTAAATCAACAGATTTTGTTTAGTTAAAACGAAATAATAAGTTTAAATTAACTTATCTAACACTATTGTACTATTGTGGTTATGTCTTCAACACGAGTTGGTTTTATATTAAAATAAAATTCGTGCAGTAAGTACGTACGACAGTACGAACGACCACGGTTATCGGATATCTAGAAATATTCAGACAAACTTACTACAGTCGCATTCTTGGTCGTTTTTGGTGACCGAACTCGCGGCCATTTGAGGCGCACGAAACCCGAAGTCTGTGAATACGTTTCTCACGCCATGACCCTGCACCAGAAATCGCCGCAAAATATTAGTCGAACATTAACGGTTTTTTATTTTTTTTTTTTATTTTCTAACGTATAATATTATTGTTATTATTATATGCACCGCAATGCAGGAGCCGATGATTCGGAAAGCATTACGATACAATATAATGTTATTTTTTATAAAATTTAGGTACTTGCCTGTTGCGTTGCACATGCTATCGCGAGCAGAACGCCGGCGAGAAGCGAACCTTGGCGACTCGGTGTCATGACTGTGACCCGAAGCGGCCACCAGTATTATACGTTTAACGGTGTCGGACATCGTTAAAACTCATACACACGCACAAATACACATAAATACACTAAATATACACACACACACATGCGTCTTGGACATAACAAACGGGAATCCACTTTTCTACACGCCAATTCAAGACCGACCGACGGGTCCAGTAAATATATATATAAATATTAATGCGTGTGCGTGCGTGCTTGTGTGTGTGTGTGTGTGTGTGTGTGTATTATTAAAACGTGTTTGGATTGTGTAATGCGTCCGCGAGGTTAATATAAACGTTGTGTGTGCATTTTGTGCGGAATTTCAGAAATGCGTCTGACGGAAGTACCTGTCATACATATTATATACTATTATTATATTATTATATTATACGTACATCATGTGGGTACACACCGCGAGACGGTGAAAGAAGACGAAAATATGAATGACAGGAACGATGACTGGCGAGCAACGCGTAACGTATAGGCACTACGAGCGCGAGCACGCTGTGATATCTCAGAGCTGTACATTATTGTACAATGCACACCTACCAAAATATAATATCGATTGTACTCGCACATTGTTCGTCATGTTTTACTATTATATCGTCAAAACTTGAAAGTGAGACGGCGGCAGTGACGTTTTTTTGTCTGCAGACGGTTATGTACGAGCACAAAACGAAGAATAATAGACAGTGTGCTCGATGATGTGCGTACAAAATGATATATATATATATATATAGGTAGAGGTAGGTAGTATGTTTTATATAACGTTTTATTCGAGTTTTTCTTTTTTCATACAAAACGTTTATTAAATGTTCGTGAACACATAGTATATAACGAAAAGAAAAAAAAAATACAAGATCAAATAAATAATTTAATTTAAATACTTAGATGTTAAGTAATAACACGATATAATGTGTACAATACACGTATTATATGTATATATATATATATAATACTCGTAGGACTAAAATTTATACGTAATTTGTCACGAACAATATGCCAATGTCGTACTGCAATAATTCCGGCCATTATCTAATGCATGCGCAAGTGTCTCGCATGTTCTTTTGAATCCAATCCAAATATTTTGTAACTCTGGTATACACGCCCGGGTAACCGGGTCTACCGCAACCGACGCCCCAAGAGACTATGCCTGGAAAACGACACGTTATTAAAAATTAAGGCGACTAAACCTACTAAGGTAGGTAACCGATTATTTGACCGAACTCAATATTGCAGTCTATACTGAGTGCATCATTTAATAGTTAACATTCGTCATCTCAAAAAGTGTACAAGTTTCTGAAATTACTGTTTTTACACAACTCGAAGTCGTAACAAAATCTAACTTTTATCATTTACTGTTTTAGTAAATGAAATTATTTAAAGTTTAAATACTTACAAAAATTGACTATCTACTCATTGGAAATGATTTATTTTCAAAGTGTTAATATATATCTACGACAACGAATGTTTACTATTAAAAGAATCGCCCTCTGTATCATTACGGTTGTATTTTTCACGAATGGACTAATAAAATATCATAATATTATGCTCACCAACTATTTCCAATTTGTCATCGGTTTCGCTGTTTATCAACAAAGGTCCTCCACTGTCACCCTGCAATGAAAATAATTAACATTATTGAACACGCCTCTATAGATAGATGGTGGGCGTCGCGAATTTATCGCAAATCACTAGTAGGGTGTTGATAATTTTCGGTTTCGTGGACGAAAATTTTTAAATTGGTTTTGCGTTTCGAAACAGTTTGAAACACGTTCCATCTTCCGCGTGGGAAGTACATAATAATAGATAATGATCGATAAAATATGTAGAGTAATTAACTGAAATAAATTACATGACGATGACGTTTATCAAATACTACTAACGAAGTTATACATTAGAAAGTTCCTAGGTTGCTATTTCTAGAAAATAACAGGGTATTCATGTTATCGACGTCATATTGTTACTGGAAATTTTGATAATAATGATATGTATAAAGTAGTGGTTATTCTGATCTCGCTGGTTTTGTATAATTTCATATTATGAATCATTGTTCGTCAGAATTGGACGTCTCATTCCCGGGATCACGGTCTTAAACCGTCAAACCGGAATAATATATATTAATGATGCAACAATTTATTAATAATGATTATAAAAAAAAAAAGAGTTCGAAAAAAGACGTACAAGCGGCAATGACCACAATATGCTGAGCTGCTGGACTTGGGTTAATATAAACGAACTGGAGGTCAAAATGTTATTATTACGCACAAATTAAAATAACTAACCTGGCAAGAGTCCTCAACACCCTTTCCGGCGCAAATCATGTTGGCGGTGATTCTCTGTGGTCGGTATTTTGAAGCCCGGCACTGCGCTAGCGACAGGATAGGTACTTGAACTTCTTGCACGACGTCCGCCAAATTTCCACCTTCCGACAAACGTCCCCAACCGACCACGGTTCCCACTTTTCCGGATGGTTCGCGAGCTACACATAATATAAATTATAACGATGATTACTTAACGTGTTTTTGATAAGATTTTGGAAAAGTCGTTCTACAGCGATTTTACTTTATCATTATAGTTGTAAATTATTAAAATGACGTGTAGATTGTATTAATAAACATGCCATAGGGACCAGGAATTAACCTAAACTAACCGATGTTAGAATTGAAACATATTAAAAATCGCGTGTTTGTTTATCAGTTTTCTGTCCAGCCTGGTTATAGGTAGAATTTTTTCGATTGCTGGGCATAAATGTGTAATAATATTAAAAATGTTTTTTATTCTCAGACGTAAGTATGTAGTATTTTATTTTTTATACATTTTCTAAACTGTGAAGTTTTCCGAGTATTAATAAAGTTTTCGGCTGAAACCCATAAAATCATGGTAATAATATAATGTAATATGTTTACAGCGGACTAAAACGTTCAAAGAAAAGTTAAATTATTTGACGGAGACACTTAACTAATACATAATATTACGAAGAAGGTGAAGAGCAGTAGACCATTATTGTATTTATAATATTTTTTAATATACTGTAACGGAACCTAAGCATGATTTTTACAACGAAATATAAATATTTGGACGGATTAAAAGGCCGAGGAATTAAGGAAATCTTTGTGATTTGTCGACGTGCCAGGGTAAGTCGGCGGTGATATTGTAGGATAGAAGACGGCGGAAGACAATGGACAAGGCGTATGGAATTTTCAGTCATTATTATACCATCGGCAACGATTTCGTCGCAGTCCACTCGGTTTTATCGAATTAAACACAGTATGCACTTACTAGCTAACGGTAAACATATCGGCCGCACTGATTTGGAGAACGGTACCGCCTTCCGCAGTCGTAATAGAGCCACGTCGTGGTTGTACGAGTTCACGTCAAAGTTCCGATGACGCACGATCGAAGATACCATTCTGGTCATCGTTTCACCGTCGGTCGCCGTGCTCTGGTCGTGATCGCCGAATATCACACGTATACGAGATTTTTTCAATCTATAAATAAATATCACCGTTTGTTACATTATAGTTTTTTATAGTCGTTATTGCTCGTTAAGAGACGATAATAACACATAGGTATATTATATTATGCATAACACGGCGATAAAGAATAAAACGCCGATTCACTGTGTACGTATAATAATATATGGTAATAGCCAATAGGATATATAATATCACATTATGATATTATGCTTCGGTTATAACGATATAACGCGTGTGTAGACAATTAACTGTTATTACATTAACAGTAAGTTGCAGTCCAGAAGAAAATAGAAGTATTTTTTCTTTCTTTACATTTATGGATCTTAATCAGATGATATACGCCTGTTTATCATTATAATACGAAAACAAGTGTGAATGTGTGTTTAACTTTCTCCAAGTCCTCGATTAACAATAACTGGTACAAACTCGAAATCACGCTACCTACATATATGTGTTTGTTGAATCTTATATTTTATTAGCTATATATATATATATATGTTTTATGACGGGTACTATTAAGAGTAAAAAAAAGTAAATATATTCAACCGAACGTGATTTTTTACACCGATAAAAGCACATCAAACGTTTAATATTATATTCAATGGTGTAATGTAATTGCATTTTTAATTACCCACTGTATTCGATCAAATAATATAATATACAATATAATATTTTATATATTATTATGTAACGATAGTTCATAAAATTATATCGTAAAAAATATTCCGATCGCAATCGTTGCTATTCACAACAACCGTACAAACGTTTTAATTTTTAATTGACAAACTCACATCACAATACGCATATACGTTTATGTAAACGATGTTCACGTTTCGTCCGTATGTGTTCGTGAAATGAAAATGTGTACGTTTCGCGTATTCGAAATTGTTTTTATGAATAATTTCGCAATGGAAAGTTATTACGCGCGCGTATAGGTACCGCGGCTATCACATATCTATCGGATGCATATTTTAACCTCGTTGTTTACTCCACGCTGGTAAAGCAACAATTTAGGACGAAATCTCTCGGTGCGGCGACGGTGAATTGAAATATAGCAGGTATATAAACGTATATTATAATATATAATGACGATGCGATTCCGATAGTGGAAACGAAATACAACGTTTTTACGCGTCAAATATTATATTATACGGCAACATACGGGTACCTAGTGTACCTACACGGTAATCGGCTGGTACAAATACCGCGGGTATCATCTACGTAACATATTGATATTATGGAGTGGTACGTGTATGTGGCTTATCTATTACCCATTACTTATCACTAATTTTCATAGTCGATTTATGTGTTTTAGTCACTAAGTCTTTAAAGTATTGTCATTGCTGATACATTTTCACGCAATGCACAAGTTTTTACAATGCTGATTTGATACAAATCTGAAGCAAAATATCTAAAAAACAGTTAACCTGTGCATCTAGGATATACACCTATAGATACTCAAAGTATAATTCGAGATTATATGAGTCGTGCATAATGTAGCACTATTCATTGGAGAGGTTTTAGTCAAGTTACCTCAAACTATCTTAAATATCTGATTAAGTGCTAACTATATTTATACATATAAGTAGAAAACACTTTTAGAAACGCATTTTGCTTCAGATAGTTAAATTAAAAATAAAGCAGTCGTTGAAAAGTTAAAAATCCATAAAACGTCGCAGTCGTAAAAAAAGAGCGCTACAAACCATTCTCCAGAATGTGTGATTTGTTTTTGAAAAATGAAAACAGATCTAAAATATTACTGACGGTACCTACTTAAATGAATCAACACCCATATACTGCTCAACTGCAGTAAGCACATTCGCATATAACTAACCGCATGCGTTTGCGGTTTTTTTTCGAGTGATTTTTACGGTACAATATAGGTGTCTACTGTCTATATTATTATTACAATAACGGTTGTTCCGAAATCAGAGACGATCAATAATAATAATGTATCGGTGTCACGCGTAGTAAGTAGTATGGGCACATGACGTATTTATGAAACGCGTACGCAAACATATTATACATAAATATTATTAGACCATTTTTAAACAGCGATACCCATGTGTAAGAGTGTATAGAAAGTTAGAAAACCCCAAATTTGAGATCTTTACCGCGTATTACTGGTGTCACGTCGACGGAGAAGCATTCGAGAACCGTTATGACACACCGATAATCGATCGTAAGTAATTAAAATTTAATATCGTAGAGCTTGTACATACTACATAAATTGTATTATGGACTATGATATTATCGTAATTAAATGTTATTGACTATTGGCCACCGCTGTACAACGAGTCGAGGGTCTTAAAACTTTCTATACATAGAAGTTGACTTATTATAGTAACGCGTATAAAAAAAACAGCGATAGGTCTTTCCATCTCTCTCTCTCTCTTTAGTGTACTCGTACACATGTGGCTATATAATTAAATTAAATTATTGTGGTAATAGTTACCGGAACTTAGAGCTTGAATGCTAGACTTTTTAAAAATATTTTTTTAAATTTCTGTTTTAGATTTTTTATACGAAACACTATATTATGATAACGAGACTCAAAATCTCCGGGGACGTGAAATTGTTAACTTTTTTTAGTTAGAACATTGCCTAATTATAAAAATATTATCTATTCGTATAATTTTCTGACTGATATAAGGGATTATTTTAACGTATGTCAATGTTTTATTGGTGCTCAAATTACATCATTGTCATCTTAATAACTCTCCTCTCCTTAAAAAATATCCATTAGTTTCGTGAACTTGTATATGCACAATGCATATTATGCAAATGTATGTTAATATTTTTATATTTTATTCACAATTGTTTTCAGATTTTGATCAAATAACTATTAATCATTGTTCAGTTTTGCATTCATTTTACATAATTTTTAATGTTTTACTAATAAATAAACAGCAAGATATTAAAGTATGGACCTTTAAAAAAAAAAACATCGTAATCAACTAAAAATATATGCACTTACTTTCGGACGCAATGAGCTGCGGTTAACACGTAATCGCTGTTGATGAGTGATCCACCGCAGTGGAAATGACCTTCGTACATGAGTTTCGCTACCCATGGATACTTGTGCACTCCGGTGGGACGGCCGCCCACTATACGGATTTCTTGGTTTGGCACTCCGCAATCTATACACAAATAAACGATTAAAATATTGGACGACTCGAAACAATTATAGATTGCTATAGAAGCTACATCAAAGATATTTAATCAGTTTTGAGTAAAAGCATTAGTAGAAGGGCTAATGTCACTTTTCATTTGAATTTCGTAAAACTTAATCGACCCGCGAGTTTTAATAATATGATTTGATTCTCGTAAATTTTAAAAGACTTGTTTGTTTTTTCTAAATTATAATAGATAATAAAAATATTGACATTTTCACTTTTTCTTTGGTAATTTTAAGACATAAATATGATTTAGTCAAAGATACGTGGTTATTTAATCCAAAAAACGGGTGGCTATAGCGGATTTTATATGAAGATTGACAATAACAAACTAGAAATCATGAAGTGACTTTATTAACCGTATACAAATCGTCGTGACGTCATATTAACAGTCGAAAAAAAGCAATGATAATGCTAAATGAAAATCCCCGTCCGATGAATGTGCGTGTGTAATAATTTAAATTTATAAGAGTCACTCGATGTGGGAGCTATTGGCGTGTGGTATTATAAAATGATATTATATATCGAAAGCGTTGTTGTCGATCGAATACAACCGATTTTATACAATGTGTTGTATGCACGAAAGAAACTAGGAACTGTCTTGTTAGGAAGTATTTCGAACGCTTTCCGTTACGAATTTGAAATATGCATTAATATATTATATTAAACGCATTTCGTCGTGTCGGTAAAAGTATAATATTATGTATTTACATTCTGACCCGAAAACTGTGTGGCGCACTAGCGCCACTGTAGCCGGTATGGGAAGAGTTTCCGTAACACGTCCTGAAATCGGTTATCAGGTCAAACGGTGTCCCTAATAAAATTTTGACACAAAAAAATTGTGTTCATGATGGTTTATCGTGTCAGGTTAATATGCAATAATTAATAATGTAATACTAAATGATAATTTATTTATGTTATCAATTATGTACTCACTGCAAGTGCAATTGGACACTGGTAACTTCTCCTCGGGTTCGTAGCTGACCGAACCGAATATGTCGTCAAAGAATATTCGTTTGTCGTCTTGTCTGTCGGGTCTGGACGTGCCGTCATCGTCATCATCCTATGGAAAGAAAGTACAAACAATAAGCGCACCTACATACACACTTATATTCATAAAGGATAAACCACAAGGACCTAACAGGTGTTCTCAATAACTTCTTGATAAAACCTGTATGCATACAGATAGGTTAGGTGTAGTAGGATGGGTCACGTGACATCGAATTGGAATTTTAAGATGTGTAGTAATAAAAATAATTGTAATAATAGTACTTTATTTTAAGCGTACGTCTCGTCAAAACGTTATTTGGTCGTTGAAAATTTCTTTTTCTTAGACACGCGACGTATGTGTTTTCTTTCTTTCTCGGTGACGGTAGAGCTACTTTTACCACACAAATGTCACATACCGTCTCGGTCTCGAACCAGCCATGAGAGAACAACAATGACGATCTCGAGACAGACACGATTATTGTTAATAATCAATTAGTGCCATCTTAGAATTTTTCAAGGCCATGGGAAAACGAATGTCCCTTAATTATCATAGTATGATAATAATAATATGATAAAAATAACCACAGACATTCCCAAAATGTTAGCTTATTTGACTTACCACGGTCATTTAAACTCATGAAATATCAGTGTTAATGTGATTTATAGTATTCGGTATTTAAATAATAACACTATGGAAACTATATATTTTGTTGTTCGATCCTAAACAACGAGAGAAAAGAATAAAAAAATTGTTAGAGAATATTGAACGTTCAATAACACAGGTAATGGCTAATAACCACGATCACCGTCAGAATTTGCTACCTATGTCGATATTTGCAATAACGAATCGCTGCGAAGAGATTTGTATTTATTTTTTTATCATTAAAATTCTCACACCCTAGCACCTCGATAACAATAAATCACGGTTATTGTAATTATTTAAGATTACCACATACTCATGCGTTATGATTTTATTCTAATATAATATACGAGTTGCAGACCGCGCGTATGCCTATATAGAAACGAACGAAATACAAGTCGTGTCACAGAGATAAAAAAACGTTGGCGACGGTAAACCTTAGAGCGTAACGACTAACGACACACCGTGATCCTAATCGTTTTTAATTATCGACCGAGCAACGCACGAGTCCGTCCGGATACGCACCCCTATCCGGAAATCGTCTTGTGACGGCGGTCTCGCGTAGTCGCTCTCCTCTCACAGCACACCCTTAACCCGCCGGAATTCGAAGTAGCCGCCGCGAGCGCAGGAGCTTACCGTGGACGCGGCCGCCGGGGCGGTGGCCGATCCGTGGCCGACGGTGGAGGCGACGGCGGCGGTCAGCATGCACACGTGCACCACCATCAGCTGCAGCTGCTGCGACCGCATCGTCGGCGGCGGCCGTGCACCATAAACGCGCGTTGGCCGCGGTCTGAGCGTCCGTCCGTCCGTCCGTCCGAGCGAGCGACCAGTGGCGATCGGCGTACCTGGCGAGCGTGCGGCCGGCCTTGCGACGTGACGGCGTTCCGGACGCGACGCGCGTATTTACACACCGCGGTAAGTGGTTACCTCCAACGCGAGCCGTGTGCACCACACTAAACCGAGTTATCGCGTCGTACTGCGAGTCGCTGCCACTGAGACGGAGACGAAGGCGGCGGCGGCGGCGGAAAGAAAGTGCACCCGCCAGCGGACCGGACGCGAGTAAAAGCGGACGTGATCGCGCGAGGTACCGGTAGCCGCGTAATATCGTTGGTATTGTGGTCGCGGTATGCGTCGTATACGTACATTTTATACATTATTATTATTGTACGGACCCGTACGCGACTTGTTGCCTACTCTCACTTTCTTGCGGACGCGACGACCTTGAAGGCGCCCCGCCACCGACGGTCGATCGTGTGCTTCGAGTCCGCAATAATATAATATAATATAATATAATATAATATCATAAATCCGATGTACCTATAGCGTGTATTGAATGTAATACATCGCAGAAAAATCTCGCCGAAACACATTGTCACGGGGCCGAAAAATTTCGTTTCGAGCAACCGTTTGTCGTTTTGTAATCGATAATCCTGCAGCGACGTGCCGGGGACGATATTTTTTCGACGACAAGGCCAATTCGATGTCTTACCGCTTCCCCTCCACCCATATAATACTCACAGTTGTGTTTTTATACGCGAATTTAATTCGTTGCTGATATCGATATAACCTGCAGTTTAACCGTTTTCCTCTCTCAAACTGATTAATGTCTAATCGCATCACTTATGTTATAGAGTTTAGAACAATGGTTTTCACTTTATTTTCACTAATTTTTTTTTTTTTTGTTTTTGGCGCTTTATAAAGCTGTTTTTATTATTTCCCATCAATATTCAGCACGCCAATTTTTGTAGTTTATAGTATTTGTTATGATTATATTATTTTGTATAATTACCAATGTATAATGTATTATTTCAGGTAAAATATTTATGCTAAGGCGTGTACTTATATCATCATATTATCAACTCCGATAATGCGCTCTCTTAGTCACATTTTCTCACAAAACATTACTCATTTAAAATTTTTATATTTTTTCATATCATTATTCAATCGCATTTAAATAGATTTGAGTTTTGGTAAAACAGTGCAAATTTAAAATTATCAAAGAAAAATTAGCTCAGGTAAACTTTTTTGTTAAAAAAGTAAATGCCCTTCATTCAATCCAAATAATAATTTTAGTGCATTATTCACTATCAATAAAATACCTAGCCATTTAAATATACAAAAGATTGTTCTGGGCTAATCACATCAATCAAAAACACAAGCAACCGATTAATCGTTTCGGATTTACTTTACTTGTCTTATTTGAAATTTAAAAACAAATTTTATTTCAAAAATAAAATACTTATTTAAAAAGCAAAATATGAAGCTCTGCCAAGATAGTAATATCTTAATATCTTTTAAACACACATTTTTCAAGAAATTGCCTTTAAACATACTCACAGAGATCCAAAGCTAAATATTTATAGCTTAATGGAATTGTAAATAATTAATTGTAACTCAAGTTTTTAAACCTCTTTAATTCTCTCATTTATTTAGATATTTATGTCTCACTGTCTTAAAACATTCATCGTCATATTAAAATAAAATGCTCCAAATACCTATTGGCTATTCTTATAAAAGATTACTTACCTATATACCTATTTAATTCTCTAATTTTTACGTGTTTCATGTTGATTGCGCTATTTATTATATCATAAAATACCATGATATATTTTATAAAATAAAAAGAAATAAATAAAATTATGTTAAACTGAGATGACTAGTTAATATGAAATTTGAATAATATTTTTAATGTGAAATAAAAACCTTTTAAATATCATGAAAATTATAACATTTTGTGTAATGGAATTATTTAATTATTATTATGAGTGCTTAGTATTTAATATTTAATTATTTTTCCCTTATTAAAAGTAAAAGCTAAGAAGTATGTTGAAAAAATAAAATAAAATAACGAGTTATAGAAGTTAAAATATCTTCTCATTACTCGGAACTAAAAATCACTTAGCTTAAAAAAAGAAACTAATCTATATACGTATAGTAAACCATTTCATACAGTTAATTAATGTACTCTGTATACCCTAGAGATTCTTGGAACGAATTTCAATTTATGAAACATTTTATTTTTTACGTTAATTATACAAGTATTGGAACCACGACGTTAACTTAAGTAATTTATTATTATTTAGATATCTCATACTTTTTACGAAAATGTATGGACATTTTACAAATAGGTTTAATGATTATCTATAGATTATTGAGAATTATATGTTTCGTTTAGTTTTTAAATGATACGATCTAATATTATATTGCATACTCGCACAGTGCAAAAAAACGTTAATAAGTCGGCTAATTAAAATTTGAACAGTTTTTTTTAATCACGTGTACAAGATATAGCGATTATATCTTATAGACTACGTATATAGTAGTGAACATTACTTGATGTTTTTTTTTTTTTTTTACAGATTAATGTGTTAATGTATATCTTATAAATAATATATTATGCCATTATGCAGTATGTGAAATTACTCTGCGTATTATTAAATTACAGTTAATAATAATTTTAGTAAAAGCTTGCAGGATTCATATAGTATGTCAAACGATGATACGTATGTGTATAGATATAAACATATTATACATATTTGTCTTATTTCGTTTTAATGCCGTTAAAAGCTAATTACACAAAGTGTACTATACTTATATGCGGTGATACATTATTAAGCAATGCGAAATTTTAACCGACATTAAACTTTCAAAGGCAAAGCTTCGTCATATGGTAATAATAACACACTATAAGCGCGCTATACTATACCGTCTTAGTTAGATATACGTATAGAATAATATAATGCATTAAGAGTTCGACACTCGCAGTTTTCAAAATAGTTTTACACACTTAATAAATGTAAAACTAATAACTCGTGTTTGCAGCTCCCGTCGTGCTTTATATTATAGTGTTTATATGTGTATAATATATATATATATTGCGCCAAAAGTTTTAATGTATTTCGTAACAATGAAATTCGTCGGAAATCAAGTTACTGCAGAAATGTCACGTGCACACTTTTGTTTTGTGAAGACGATCGTCGAATTTTGATTGACTTACAACCAGAAAGTTGGCAAAAGTGTATTAAGTAAACGTGTATTGGACAGCAGCAGCTCTACCTACCCGCTAGACTTGCCTGCCCTCTTGTCTTTTCTGTCTATCTATCAATACTTACACGGTACAAACATATATAGCTTACTATTAACCGTTTGCTAACGTATACATTATGTGCATATAATATTACGTTTGTAACACAACGTGAGATAACTTTTCAGTCGATTTGAATAATTCGATACAAGGGGATCGGTTAAAAAAAAAATACAATGTCAGCATTATTTTTTTACAGCCCTAAAATTATTATGCAATGCAAATATACAAATGAAATTCAAACGGCTAAAAGTGAATTTACTTCCACTCAAATGGTTATAACTTATAACTCATACCTAGGTACTCAGTACTCATTAAGTGTTTCGTCGGTTGTTACTTCTAACTTTTATAAATTAAATATAATGACATCTAGTAATGTATACCTACTATGTTAATATATTTTATGAGACTTAAGTATTTTTATAACAATTATAGGGTAATGTATAAATAATGCTATTAAGCATTATGTTTGAATTTTATAAGATGTATATTATGAATAGGTACGTATTTTTAACTAACATGTATTTCAAATTAACTAACCAAATATAGTGTTTATTTTTAATTTTTACAGTAATTTACGCAAAACCCGTGGATTTGACAACAACTGTAAAGTAAATGTAGTTAAACATTTTTATTATTTTTATTATATCTTGATTTTAAATATATGGTACCAAGTAATATTTAACATTTTTATTGTAACTTTTGGAATGATACTTAGGTGTATTTATATGTTAATAATGTTTTCATCAACTGTTTATCGAATAGTTAAAACACTATGGTAAAAAGTTAAAAAAATACATGGACTTAAAAAGAGTTTTAACCAGGTAAATCAATTGTTGCTAAAATTACATTGCATAATAAGTAAAGTTCGTTGTTCAGAGCTTAATGATTTCTGTTATTTTAATTTAATAATTATTTTTAATATGATTTTTTATTTTATTTTATTATGTTATAAAATTAATGACGATTAAATATTTTTATGATTCATATCTGTAGTTCACAAACGAAAAAAGAAAGCGAAATAAATTTTTATGATGATAGTATTAACTATTAACCGATTTGTGTGTTGTCCGAGTTAAAAAAAAATAAATAAAATAAAATTTTCCATTTTAGTATTTATTAATCGTACCCACATGATTAAACTTAATCACGAAGCGTCAAAAATTATAGATAATATTGTTCAATCTTAATTTTTCCACACGATTTTTGTTGTGCTACTCCGTCCGTTGGTCTGAATTCAAAATATTGATTAATTAGAAATTAAAATTTTTCAATATTTAAGTATCACATATTATTTTAAGAAATTTAAAGTTTAGTTTGACATTTAAAAATTTACAGCTGAAATAATTAATTAAATAATAGGTTATCGTTGTAATTAAATCAAACAAACTAAATTCATTTTTTTTCAGAATCACAGAAATTGATTGAGAAAAATAATATAAAATTATTATCCTGCAAATTATATTTATTTATTTTTTTTGAAAGTACCTACAATTTAATAATTAAAATAAGTTCTATCATTTCTATGACGTTTTTATTTTTATATCTTTGATTTATGTAACCGACACTAATCGTGTAGTGTAGCAAAATAGATCGTTCATGGTTTACTACAGTTTTGTGATATAGTATAATATTTTTATACTATAAATAAATAAAATAAGTACTTAATATTTAGCTTCAATTTAATTGGAAATCGGTAGATACTGTCATTTTTAATAGAATGTGATAATGGCGTCAGACCGGCTTTATGAAAGTGAAAATGTTTACTTAGCAGATAGTGTTCGTCGACGGTAGAAGTACGTTTACTCAAATCAAGACGCACACTAAAAAAAAAAAAAAAAAAAACCGAATAAAAACCAGCATTGACGATTTCTATGCAAACCACAAAGTAAACACGAATTTTTAAAATCGTTCATTGTGCATGTATGAGTATATAATATATTTTTTGTTAATGATGTTATATTATTTTTACTCTGGA